ACGATATACCATATATCTGTCATTTAAACATTCGGCACCATTTATTCAGCCAGCATTCGGATTTTCACAAAACATGCCACAAAGATCAGTAATTATCACTTTCTTACATAAACATGAATTATAGGAAAATGCATTGAATCATAAATGCCCAAGGCTTAGATACGTCGCATATAACATTGCTTAGTGAAGCTCAGCAAATATATAAACATAATATGGCTTTGAACCTCACCCTCTTAATAAGTAAATCATTTCCCTTAGGTCTCCCTGTGGGTAACTTTCTTATAGAATTCTGTAGTAGCATTGCCTGGTGGACTTGCTCAAATCTTAGCCACACATCCCAATGAGGCTCTGATTTCTGTGTTCGAGAATTAAGTTATTTCCAAGCAAATCTAGGCCAATCTAACATGCTGAATACCAACTTTTGATAAGGAGATGGATTTATTTTTGCATTCGGTTTGGTTTTATGTCGCACCAGGATAATATAGGTTATCATTCGGAACTGCCTCAGCTATTATCTATAAAAACCTCGGAAACAATACGGATTGAAATTAGTTCTACCGCGTGGTTTCAGATGTAAACAGAAACAGAGATAATGTAAAACGAATGTATATATTTGACATTTAATGTATGTTCCAGTACTCTTATGCTTGAAAATATGTCCGACAACAATTTGTAATTTAAATATGCCCACTGATGTTCAATTTGAAACAAATCCGACAAAATGTCAACAGGTTGGTTTTTTGTACTTTCGGTTTCTACAACCATAATAATAAATATATAAATAGTATATTGTTTGCTGTTTGTTCACTTATTTTAGGTGGACTTTTACTACATATATTGAAAATAAACTTTCAACAACTCCCAACATTAAATTACTATTTGTTTACATGTTTAGTTTCTTAGCGTAGGTAAGAAACAAATACCGATTCCGTTCTGTGTATTCATACTATTGTGTTCGAGATCCTTATCCGAAGACTGACGGAAAGGGCCGAGTAGTTGCGATTGTATAGGTTATATGGCGACTTTCCAGCTTTATCCTCAGGTGCCCTACCGTGCATTATCTCAGGCATGAACAGGCATACGTAAAGAAACTGCAACGTTCCGTAAGTTAAGCCTAGGTCACAAATAAGAAAATGCCGCCGGGCGGCGTCTGTTTCTCCATAAAATCGCAATATCGACCGGCGTCCGTCCGGCGGCAGTGACTATCGGACGGCAGCAGCTGAAAATTTTGCTCATCGGGCGGGCGCCTTCGAGTTTTAAGTAATACTTAAAAGCTAACGGCGGCCGGACGATAATTTTTGGGGTCACTGAGTATAAATATCATCGAGCGGACATCGCTCGGTCGCCGGGCGGCGACCGGGCGATGATTTTTTGATCGGGCGATTTCTTGTTCTACTAAAACACCGTCCGATTTAAAAGGCGTCCGGGCGGACATAGGCCGGGCCCCGCCCGGTGCCTGAATAGAGACAAGTAGTCAAACGATTTTCGCCCGGTACCCGGACGATTCATGTACAGGCACCGGGCGGTCATCGTTTTGTCATCCGGCGACCGGGCTGCTTATGTTTGTTGAAATTTCAGCTTGAAGAAGTTGTAATTGCCTCAAAAATATATTTTTGAATTTCTTTTGAATACTACTAAGTAAACATGAATTTTTTCTTCAATGTCCATGAGAATGTCTGATTGATTTTCGTCTTCTACGGCCTCGATACTGGCCGTTGGTGACTCGGTGTCAACAACACGGACCATCTCCTTGGCCTTCCCCTTGGCTTTGGCAGCTGACTTCTTTGCTTGCATAATTACAACTGGCTGATTTATAAAGGATGTCATTAAATGTAAAGTCATTGTCGCCCGGCGCCCGCGCGGCAACCGTCCGATTCACTTTTAAATCGCACAGGCGCCTTACGGACATCGGGCGGCGACCGCCCGATCTGTTTAATTCTTTCTGTAAAATCCATTCGGCAAAAATCGCCCGACGACTGTTTCATTCATGACCACGCAAGGTATCAGATTTAAAATCGCCTGGCGTCCACGACATCAAAAAATCTGCCGATTTTATAAAAATCGTTTAATCGGACGGCGCCCGTTTTATTTGTGACCTAGGCATTAACGGATATCTTCCTCTCAGCTTGATAACTTTCTTTCATGGACAACAACCAAAGTCCCTGTTGGGATTTGGACCCACAACGATTTTAATCGCTCGGCCAGGGACGCCCCCTGGAGATGGATTTCTTTTTAACCAGGTTTAGTGATGATATGTGCATTTGATCATGACGAGTCCTAAGAATGTATTTCTCAACGAGATCTAGGTCAACCAAATGTATTTTTTAAATGTGATGCAAGATATTTTTCAATTCACAATATCAATCACCTGGCGATCCAGCCATTTTTTTTATGAGAAGACGTAAAAAAAGGTGTTTTTGTCCAAGATTGGGAATGTTAGTGGGTGCGAAAGTGTAAAATATGTTAATGTTCGGAATGAAGCAAATATAAGGTGAATAAGTAATAAAATATAAAATAGTTTTATTGACAGGGGACAATAACAAACAATATGTTAAATAGAAATATGTAACGCATCGATATATACATCAATTTATAAACACTGCCTAATATTCTGGGAATATCACTCATTCCAGTGTTAGTCATATATACCTGTAGTATTGGTCTCAATGCTATTTGCGTTCTAAACATATCTATAATATATATTTTAATCATATATAAAGAATAGTTTAGAAAATAATTATAAATATATACTATGTTCTATAAACAGAATAAGAAAACTTCCTGCAAATTATTAATTGTTTAGATATAATTATATCTTATATATTTTTTTTCACCTGAAAGATATGGGTTTTCTTCCATTAGCTTTTATTTTGATTCAATTCGTTGAATAATTCGCCGAAACAACATTAAACAACAAGTATGTACATAAATGACCATATATATAACATATAACAAAAACTTTCAAAACTTTTGCAATTGAACTAAATCACATTAAAAACAGTCTCAAATCAGTATTTGTAAACAAGCTGCTAAATGAATTTTTTTCTCGCGGTAATTATATCATGTTATTAGCTCGCTTGTCATGATTGTGTTGTTTGTTGGCGGTAATTATCCTAGCTACATGTGAGATGTATCAGGATAATAAAGTTATACCCATATTTCATTCAGTTGTTGTTTTTTTGTTTGTTTTTTTTTTTCATTTGTTAGGCCAACATTTTTTTATAAAATGTTTTACGGGACCGCCGACCGTATTTTTAGAGAAAATCAAATAAAAATAAAAGTAAATTTAAGAACTTTTATTTTCATTTTGCCCGCCGACCTCTCTTACCCACTTCTGTCAAAATAAAAGTTACTTGATATGGAACACATTTTTTACTTCAGTTATTAACGGTAGAACCTCGTAAATTGCTTAAAACAACTGACAAAAGTTAGGCCCTTTGATGTTTACATGAATGTTACAAAAGGCGTAACAAAAGGGAAGGGCAATAACTTTACAAGCTTGTAATAAATTTACACATGTGAATATCACGCGACACCGGGTCATGGAAGTTCGCTTTTTTCGAAACCCGTTTTCAATACAACTATGGCAATTTGAGTAATAAATATTAGAGCATTTAATCAAATATGATACTAAGCCTGTAAAGCTGTTAGAAAGCACGACTGGTAATTAACATCCATTGCATAAGTTGATTTGAATTACCTTCACTGTCAGAACAGTTGTAAAAAATTAAATGGGCACGGGATCAAAGCCGTTGATCGACTTTGATGTCAAAATGAAATATTACTTGATTTACCACGGACCATGAGAATACTTCCACACATTAAAATTTAGACTCATGTATAGGTTTTATAAAGAAATAGAGTAACAAATGAGGTCTACTTACATGGTAGATTTATTGTAAGCAAATTGTGAAAACTTTTTATTATGAATCTTTGAAAACATTTGATCAATTTATTATACGAAAATAAATTCCTGAAAGTTGTTTGGTGGACAGATTTTTGTTGTTGTCTTGTTGAAATACAAGGCTTGTTTATAATTGAACACAGTCATCTATAACATTTATTAAATTAATATTAGTATCATGACAGCAGACAGGTAGTAATGTGTGTTTTTTAGAAGTTTTTTACTAGATCAATATTGAGAAAATTGGTCTTTTTTTCAATGTAAGATTATGAGCATAAGTCCTCTTTGACATTTCTGTAAAAACTGCCTATAATAAATTCTCAGCAAAAAACTCTGATTTTGTAACAATGTATGCCATTTGATTTTCTATTTACTGTCAATTGCTTTCATTTTACTAATCATTTGAAAATACGAATAATTTTCAGAAATTGCAAAATTTTTGCACATACAGAACTTACTCTCTTAAAAATAATTTGAAGTTGTTGATTCAATTTACCTTGTGAAACTGACATTGTACATTATTATGTTTGTACCACTCTCCCTGTGTGGTGTTGTCGATTAGAATCCTGTCAGGAAGTTAATTTGGATTCCCGTGAGGAAACTATCAGTAAGCTTATATATAATAGGTTGGTGGTTCTACCTGGTTGCAAGCTTGTGCCAGTAAAGCTTGAGAGTGGCAATACGACCTTGTTTGGATACTCTTTAAATGAAGGGACTAAACAATGAATTTGGAGTTGTGTGGCATGTTTAAAGACAAAACTAATAGAAACTAGATCAGCAGCTACTAAAAACAAAAGCAACTACTAAAAACAAAAGCAAAAGTGACTTAAAGCATTTTTTTCAATTATTTTGTTTAAAATTATGTCAAAAATACTTCAAAACTATAGAATCATTGATTTTATGAACAAAAAATCTGTTTTTGGAGTCTTAAAAAAAATGTTTGAAAATAAAATTTTTTAACCTCTTTTATCATTTTATTTTTATTTTGTGGTCGACTGATAAAAAAATTGAATTTTATTTTTATTTTTATTTATCCCCCTCGACCCAAATTTTTTTTTAAATGTCCCGTAAAACATTTAATAAAAAAATGTTGGCCTTACACTGTACTTTTTATACTGCATACAGTCTCTTCTGCATTTGAGTTGTTTCTGTGTTTTTCGTTTGGTTGGATTTCAGGTAGGCTCTGGTTACCAAGATCTTGATTACAACGAGGATAAATAAACTGTTTAGTGTGCCAGAAATAATCAAGAGGGTACAGTAGAAATCACCTGTAAAATATATAGAAATTTACAGATAAAGCTATAAAGTATGCAGTAATCGCCGAAATATATATATAGAAATCACATAATTATAAAGTATACTAAAATGCACACGCACTGGGTTTCGGAAAAAATTTTTTTTTAAATGTACTAGATTTGTAGGACACAGTTTGGACTGAATGTAACAATTTTTTAACGCAGATGTTTCTTTTCTAAAACCGTCATTTTTCCTATGTTACTAAAACACAGTCCGCAGTTTTTTAGTAACATCGGAGAAATGACGGTTTTAGAATCGAGACATCTACGTTAAAAACCGTTGCATTCAATCAAATTTGAGTTCTACAAACATCTCGAAAGGGTTTTTTTTTATCCCGAAACCAAGTGTCCAGAAGTCGCCATTATGGTATACACTAAAAGTGCATAAAGTAAAAAGATATCGAGTGTAAGGTAAACATAAGTCGGACACTGCGATAAGATTCAAGCCGTCAATTTGAAATAAATATGTGTATATTCACATTCCAAAGTGACCATATAAAAATTGTTATCACACACTTTCATAACATCGACTGTGTTCAATCATTTTATCCACATTGTAACTTTTTCCATCTCGTTGATATAATTACAATCTGAAGTTTTACCTTTTTCTTGCAGTTCAATGATTGTTCGTTCTCTTGCTTTTAAGTCTTTCAAGTCTTCTTTTAATGGTTCTTAAATAAAATAAGTGAACGTAAACTATTAATAGAAGAAATTAAACTTTAGTTTGATATGTGTTATATTATGTAATACATTGTATTAATTTTTGAAGTTATGTAAGGTGTATTTAGTCTCTTCATTATAGTTATAAAATTATATTAGTAAATATCGTAAACATGTTAAATGCTACATAAACTCAGTGTGCTTTAAATTTATTCATGTACATACTATAGGAGTTTAGCAAAGGTGTTTCTTGATTTTTGCATTTTTTTTAATCCAAACACTGTACATAATAAACCTTTCACAACGAAACATATTTTTGTTGTACACATCCAGTTGAATTGACTATAGGTTACATAATATAAATGTTATATGTGGAAAATAGAGATTGTAATACCTGTGCAAGTAAACTTGAGTCAGATTTTTGAGTGAGATTTTCTACAAACAATCTACAGGTGCAATCATTGCTATATGCTGTAAAGTTCTCTGGTGATAAACATATTTTCGACTTGGTTTCACATGAGACGGAATTATAAAAAAAGATCACAATCGTTTAAAAATGAATTATTATTTTGGCATCGTTTTGTATAATTATAAAGTATGCATTATTTTGTTATCTTACCTTAAGTGTTTATTGTCTTAATATATTTTTGACAATGGAGACTATATATTTAAATAGAAAGAAGTAAAATACATGTACCTTGTATAGCTTGTATACAACACGTCTCCTTAAACTCATGTACAGTCATACACGTACAAAACTGTTTTGTTACGTCCCTCTCTAACAAACATATGTCTCGAAATGCCCTTGAGGAGCCAAACACCACCCTACTACTAACACACACAAGAAACATAAATATCATGTACACGGACATTGTTTTTGTATAATTTATGAAAGACGAAGTCTTAACCTGGTTTTATGAATAGATTAGCAACGGAATAATGACCTTAGTACGGTCATCGTTATTTACAATCTTTAGATAGCCACGACAAGTATGTATACGAGGTAACATATCATTTATTTAAATATCTGGACAAAGTTGTCGCTCCTCGGGTCACAATAAATTATAGTAAATATATGCATACACTATTATTAATAACTGCATATAAACAACTGAAATGGCGTCTGAAAGTTACAAATATCATCACCATCAGTTATCGTCTGTATTTAGGGATAATGTCGAACGCTTATATCCGACAACAGTCGTTGAGCCGACATCAGGCCGACATTTAACAGTCAAAGGGCCGATATTAACAGCCGACATTTTGCCACCAGAGACTCGCATAATATAATTTTATTTAACTTCTTCATTGACAAGATCATCAGACTTTCACTTCCCATTAAGCGGGTCAACTCAGACGATTCTGAAGAATAACTTTAAAGTTCGGCGAAACATTATACAATTTGCAAATATCTGATCAGATGAAGATAGTTAAATGCTTTCTGAAATTACTAAAACCATGTTTCCTAAATATGACACTCGCCGTTTTTCCAATATTGTGACTTGTTATGAGATTTGGTGTCACTATTGCAACTGAAACAAAAAGATTTGGGCCACTAAAATGTTCGTCGACCATACATTGCCAAGCAATTGAGAAAAGTCCATTAAGTTATGCACGTTATGTTTTTAATATACGTGGAAATGTTGTCCAAAGTCCTGTTTCTAGAGGCCTTTCTGTCAAATCTAAAAATTTAACCCCAATAAAAATTTTTTGAAAAACACCCTTTATAAAATTTTTCCTTTTGTTTTTTTAAAAGGGTATTTTTTGCATTTTAACGCTCCGCCCTACCAAGGGAAAATGTTTTAATTGGGTTTGTTTTCCGAGGAAATAAAAACGACTGTCATAAACATTCACTGTATTCTCCGTACGTTGCTCCCTCCTGTGACTTTTACCTCTTTCCAGGACTGAAATAAAACATATTACTGGTTATCACTACAAGAGTAATGATGAACTTCGGTCAGACATTTAAGCTATTGAAAGGTATATATGGAACGCCGTGACTGTCTTATGTAATCAATGTTTTTGATATCTTGTGAAACGATGATATAATTTTGTCGTTTGAGCATGTTAACATATGCAATTTACATCATGTCTTGTCAAAGAAACATGCTGACCTGTACAAACAGCATGTTAACTTGTCAAATTATTAATGATGACATGTGCAGACAACATGCTAACTTGTCAAAGTATCGTGATGACTTGTGCAAACAACATGTTAACTTGTCAAAGTATAATGATAACTTGTGCAAATGACATGGTAACTTGTCAAAATTTCATGATGACTTGTGCAAACGACATGTTAACTTGTCAAACTATTAAACAGCATGTTAACTTGTCAAAGTGTCATGATGACTTGTGCAAATGCCATGATAACTTGTCAAAGTATAATGATGACTTGTGCAAACGACATGTTAACATGTCGAATTATCGTGATGACATGTACAAACAGCATGTTTACTTGTCAAAGTATCATGATGACTTGTGCAAACAGCATGTTAACATGTCAAATTACCATGATGACTTGTGAAGACAACATGTGAACTTATCAAAGAATCTTGATGGACTTGTTGCAAAATGACATGTTTATCTTGGTATTAGTGCTGACATGTTTCAAAACCCCCACGTTAACTGTCAAAGTATTATGATAACTTGGGGGAAAAATTGCCATGCCTAAAATGTCCAAAATTTTCCATGATAACTGTGTAAACAGCATGTTTAACTTGTTCGAATTAATCGTTAATGACATGTGCATACAGCATGTTTAACTTGTCCAAGTATCATGAATGGACTTGTGCAAACGACATGTAAACTTGTCCAAGGATAATTGCATTGACTTGTAGACAAATGCCATGTTAACAAAAAGTTTTATGATATTATTTTGTCATTTAAGCATATTTTTAAAATGTGGGCAATTTACAATCAAAATCTTGTCTAAAGAAAATGCTGACTTGTTTTAACAAGCATTGTTTAACTTGTCAAATAAATTCATTAATGACATGTGCAGACAACATGTTCATTTGTCAAAGAATCGTGATGACTTGTGCAAAAGTTAAGGTATTATGAGCATGTCATCACGATAACTCGACAAGTTAACATGCTGTTTGCACATGTCAGCATGAAATTTTGACAAGTTCACATGTTGTTTGCACAAGTCATCATGATATTTTGACAAGTTAACATGTCGTTTGCACAAGTCATCATGATACTTTGACAAGTTAACCTGTTGTCTGCACATGTCATAATGATTATTTGACAAGTTAACATGCTGTTTGAACAAGTCAGCATTTTCTTTAGACAAGATATGATGTAAATTGCACATGTTAATATGCTTAAATGACAAAATAATATCATCATTTCACAAGATAGCAAAAACATTGATATCATAAGACAGTCACGGCGTTCCATAGGTATACCTAAGGAAGATTATAAATGTAATTGGATGACACGTCTGAAACTTGGTATTCCTGCTGGAGAAGATTATTTTGTAAAATATTTGATTTTTTTTTGGTTTTTTTTTTCACCATATAGCATTAAATATTGACCCACCCTCGTATATAATACTGCTTGCCATACTATCACCCGTGCGTATTAAATACCTCGAATTCTACCAAAAAAAATCAAATTTGAAAAAAAAACATTCTATACAATATACACGTACATGTACAACGGAATTTTAAAGGCATAAACACCATAAAGCGATAACGTAGTATCCTACCATTGTCCGTCAATATTTACAATGATATGAAAAAATGGCATTGATCTTTTGTTTTTATTTTTGCCTATGATACAAAAGAGATAAGAATATCAAATCACTCGGCGATCTGATTTATACTCGGGGGGGGGGGGGCTACATCCCTTCCCACAAATCAGATAGCCTCGGGTTTCGAGGCTCTGCCCCTCGTACAAACACATAGCCTTGTTTTTCGATGCTCGTTTCTGTAACTTAATTAACCTATATTAATTGCCTGAACTTTCAATAATTGTACAACATTATGTAGTTGTCCAATAAAATTCCTTCTTACGAACAAAGAAAGAATGAAAGAAAGAAAGAAGAAAGAAAGGAAGAAAGAAAGAAAGAAAGAAACAAGGAAAGAAAGAAAAGAAAAGAAAAGAAAGAAAGAAAATCCTAAAAATAAAAAAATGGAAAATTTATGTTCAGGATTTTAACTTAAATTAAAATCAAAACGAGAAAAAGTTTAAACAACTTAAGTAATTTGTAAATAAAACGTTTTGATAAACATTCATAAACGGATATGTTTAAAATATTGCTCGATTTGTTTGTGACAATCGCCGAGATGTTATGGTATGTAGTCACAAATGCTGATATAAGATCCTGGTATAGATCAACATCCGGATACTGTAATATTTACTTAAGGATGAGAACAGTTACGATGTGTGACTTCCGTATTGCCAGTTAATCATTTAATAAGTTTAGTGTGTGATCTTATCGCTTTAAACTTTAGTTGTAAATTGTCATTTTTTTGTGGCTTTATCAAATCGAAAGTGATTGACTATTGCTACAACTATATCGCCAGATCATTCTCTATACTGTTGGTAGTTCATTTTTCGATTATTTTAACACTGAACTCCCATAAAGTTTAAATGGACTGTCCCACAAATCAAAGCTGCGCAAATCCGTTACAAAATTTCAATGTTGCTCAAAATGATGCAAAATTTAGCATAGGTTTCCATTAATAAATATTTTATGTATTTAACATTTACATTTATTTCTTTATAGTATATATGTTTTGACTTTATCATATTTTGTCTTGTTTTATGATCTTTAAAACAATTAAGTTAGAATAAATAAAAGTATTTTATCAATTATAAAATGATGGACATAGCCGCCATCAACAACGATAATATATTGATAACAGCAGACTGTTTCGTAAACTCAAACCAGATTCAAGACAACGACGTACCCAGTAATATGTTCCTTAGCAACAGAAGGTCGCGCCAGGATTCCGTAGTTTACACTTACTCACAACCGTTGATTACATACATCGTGAAAATGTGTGGATTAGATTCATTCTTAATTTTGAATTATTTCAAATAGTTGAATTATTTCATACAGTTAAACAACTTGTGGAGAAATGTTTGAATCGACATTAATTAAATCATTTTTTTATTTTCTTATTCTACTGCGTGTTAGTTATTATCAGACAGGTAAGAATGTGATTTTGTTTTTGCACTTCTTAGTTAGATCAAGGTTTGATATTTAGAATGCACACTATACACACATAATCTTAACATGCACTCGTATGTTCAACTGTTCACAAACACAAGGTTACAAAAGTCGTTCGATTAGTTAAAAATGTTTTTAGTAAGTCACTTTAATTGCTTTCATGATAACTACTTACTTTTTCTGTTATCTTGCTGAAACATAGAAGAAGGCAGGTTTAAGTTCAAACTGGTAAAGTTTAGTTAAGTAGCATATTGAATAAGACATATATATATGTGTACAGCATATGAACACTTTATTCTCGTTATTTTTGCGGGAAGGATATTCAAAGTTTACAAGTGTTAAATTTAACGGTTTTTGTATTTATGTGTAAATGTTTGTTGCTTATTTTTATATCTAAAATTTCCTATTAGCAACTACATGTAATAAATAATTCAAGTTAAACGCAGATAGTGTCAGCTACATAACATTTAGTGACCATACATACACATGATACACGTACTATTTGTATTGTTAACGTTACGAATCAATACCTTTTATAAGTTTAACTTAAAATAGAACATTCACTAGCATAACATAAATGATGTTTTCCATGCTGTATGTTATATAATGTTATATAACGTTATATGTTATAACATTGCACAAAGTAAATGCAGCTTTAGATCTGACGCTTGCAGTAAACAAGATGAATTTCGTATTATTATAAAAGTAGGACAGAATTATGTATTTATCTTTCCAAAGTTAAGTAGCATTAAACAAGCGAATGGCGCGAGGTAATTGCTTAACGACCAAAAACCCTACTTAAATAGTCGTATGATATTATTGTTCCTGAACCAGATCATTTAATTGTGTTAACGTGCAATATTCATGTGTGTTAAAAAGTTATAAGAATATGTTTCAGCTACACTGTGTTAGAAGCTGTAAGATTATTGAAACACCTAGAACTAACAAGTACTAAGTAATGAGTGTACGGAAGCAACGAGGTTTGAACCCATGCGCCTGGTAATCCTCAGATTACCAGTCCGATGCGTTACCACACGGCCAATTCGCCACATAAACATAAATAATGTGTTTAACAAAAGATATTCTCAGTTACAAATCTAGAAACAACCAAAAATTAACATTATCAATTAAACTGTGTTAAACATAGATTTATACCCGTAAGGCAAGAGTAACTAAGCTGCTCACAAACTGAAACAAAAAAGAAACTTTCGCAAAGTATGTGCCAGTTGTTCAAGGGTACCATTTAGATGTACACAATTATATAAATGTAGTAGCTTGTAAAACTCGTTTATGTTTGCAATCCTCGTATAAAAGCCCGATATGTTTATTCAACGTAAAAATCGAGTTTCAAAAGGATTGAAAAACTGTACTAACATTTCTACATTCAAACTTGGAGAAACTTTTCCTTATTTGTCTCTGTATATTAAAGAGACATTTTCACAAGTAAAGTTTGATTTGTGACTGTCTGTGAACCAGCGGCTAAAAGGAGTATTTTCGGTCAGTTTATATCATTTTTCTACAAGAATTCATGAAAAGTCCATGCACAAATTAAACACACATTAGGCATGAGTCTTTGCTAAACTAAAATAACAACACAACACCATATGCAAGGCCAGACGAACGTTTATTACGAGATGGCAGCCGAAAGTAGTTTGTTACAACATGAAATATTGTTTTGTATCAAGGATTTTCATTCAAGCTTTAAAATATTCTTTAAGACATTTCAGAATTACAAATGCTTATATTTTATTTCATTCATGCAAACAGATTTACGCAAAAATATTTCCAATAAACCTAACAAATCTGCACATACAAACATAACAAATCCTAGTCATTGCAAAATTTCTTATTAAAAGAAAATGCGATTATTCTAGTACCTTATACAACGATTAAAAACACTTAAAATGACAATATTTGCCTAAAAAATTGCCTTCATTATCTTACAACATACGTCTTTGCTCGCAGTGCAACCCGACTCGCCCAGGAAAAACCATCGTGTGGAAACCTGTGTCCATTTGTCAAGTGTCGGTTCGCTAATGTTGGACCTCATCTTGCGACGACGTATGTTTTCATTACAAAATCAAATACATTTTTGTATATGAATTACTTAAAAATGTTTACATTAAAGACTTTTTTTTTAAAATTTATACAACGTGTCTCTGTGAAATCGTCTGGTAGAATGACCCTCTTTACACATTACAATATACATATTGAGTTAAGTCACGATTCATTAAACACGACTGACCAGTATTCACCCTTTTGAATGCGTAACGCGATAGACAATAATTTCACGCTATTACTATCGAAACGCGTGAAATATTAAGTCTTTGCTAAACTAAAATAACAACACAACACCATATGCAAGGCCAGACGAACGTTTAGAAAATCAAAAAGAAGGGGCTGGCGTTGTATCGGATTGTAAAACAACAACAAAAAGTATTATAATCCTAAAAGCTTAGATACTTCTAATCTCCTGTCTAAAGAATCGGCAATATAGCCATCTTTACTACTGTCACCCTTCCAACGACCGTGTCGTTTCAAACACCGATCATTCACACCTGCATTAGCAGCAGCAGTTACACCACCAGACCGTAAGGAATGCAATCCCAAGTTCAAATCTCCTGCTACCTCTCTCAACCTGTGCAACAAAGTTTCCCTTGCTCGAGTGTAACTCAAACATTTGTCTTTATAAATCAAACAACCATTACCTTTTGACCGTATACCAGGACGAAATAAAAATTTAGGACTGCTTATACTTTGATTTGAAATTCTTAAATACCGTTGTAGCATTACGTATGGACATGCTTCGGAAACCCCCTTTGCAATAACAATTTCTGAGCCAAAACGATACTGATCAGTCTTGCTTTTGTTAATTTTCAAAGAAAAATAATTGTCATGAAAAGTAATGTCATTACAACGGAGATTTCTTATCTCATCAAACCTTAAAAATGCAACATAATCAAATAAGATCATACATAAATCTCGTAGTACGAAAATGTCAATACTGTTTGCATACTTTGCACAAAGTTCAGTAATTATTTCTGTAGAAACTGGTTCTTTTTTGTTGACCGGTTTAGAATACAGACGCTTAGACGTTTCTAACAAGTTTTTTATAAACAAGTTGTCCGTAGGATCTGGTAGATTACGGAGTGAATGAGCCCATTTTATTCCGTAGACCGTAGATGAAACCATGGCATAAGAACACTTTTTGTCTATTAAACCAGTTAAGTACATAGCTATTAGAATTGGCGAAGCTGGAACACTGTTGCCTCCCTTTGATTAATATATTTTTCCCATTTCAGGAAATAAAAATAATACTTTTTCACTGTACTGTCGCTTTTAGAGCTAACAAGATAATCAGCCATCTTCCCAGCGGTATCTTTAAAAGAACTGTCTGAAACGCCTGATTTCTGTACCTCATCCTCAATGCACCGTCTCAAGTTTAAACCTGAAGGAAAACACACACAAAATATAACACACCTATACATATCAAAATCTTATAGCTATTAATCTAAAATTCAACGGCCTCCCATCAAAAACGCCGTTTCTGCCAAAACCACGCTTCGTAAGAACATCAGGCTGAAACATAAAGACATCTTTGATAAAGCTTGCTGGTTTCCGTGCTGGAAAAAGACATGGCCAAAATAGTACCGAATGCCAACATGGCACCACTAAAGTACCACTACATTTGTCTCTATTAATTTTATTGACGCACCTTACTATTAATCTTGGCGGTGGAACAAACCAATTGTTCTCACCGACCCAAGGTTGCTCAAAAGCATCTATACCTGCTGTACCCGGACACCAGTATCTTGAATTAAAGCATTTACATTTAAGTGTTGTAATGACACGCAAAACGGTCAAAGGTATGCTTTCCCCATTTGTCATCTAATACTTTGAAAATCCAGTCAACAACTGACCAATCATCACTGTCCGAACATCTGCTCAGAAAAATCAGCTTCAACATTATTTTTTCTTTGTAACCAACGAGAATGTAAATTAATTTGTTTGTCATCACACAATTCATCTACCTTTAATGCTATCTCTTGCAATTGTGGTTTGCTACTACCATTTTGCAACACACTACACACATTTTTATTATCTGTGTTTATCAACACTTCTCTACCATGGAGATACTAGTAAGGTAAATTTGAGAGTACAACCCTATATACAGACTCGAGCTCACGCCAGGTGGAGCTCAAAATGCTCTCGGATTCTAACCAAGAACCGATTACATCGCTGTCTGCAACACCCTGTATGTAACCCCAAAACCTACATTACTTGCGTCAACAAAGACGTTTGCATAATTACAACTTCCAGCTCCACTGGCGTCAACAAAGACGTATGCCGTATCACCTATTTCAGAAAATAACGAACCCTTGTTCAAATTTCTAATATGTTCACGCCAATAAATAAGCTCATCAAATGCACCACTGCTTATTTTGACTGGAGCATTCCAGCTTGCTCTGCTATTTACACATTCATATAAATATCGGGTTCTGAGTCTTACTACCGAACCAAAGACACTCATCATCGATATCAACTGACCCGTTAAACATGCTACCTTTTTGACCGAAAACAAAACTACACCCTTGCATACAGAAGTAATAAAAAACTGTAATAATGATTCAGTCCGATCTATTCTTTCTTGCGTTACTTTCAGCACACCCTCACATGTATTCCAAAGATAGCCTACCCAAATAGTTTGCTGAATCGGCTCCCACTGACACTTATCTTCGGCTAACAGAAAACCGAAACTAATCAAATCTTTTTTATCAAAAATACTGTTTTCCCTGACCATCTCAAGAGAGCTAGCACCACCTAAACCATCATCTAAAAACAAAATGATTTTCATCCCCAAATTTCTCCATTTCTTGATTACTACCCGTAATACCTTAGTAAATATATATCCGGCGGTAGATATACCGAACGGCAAAACCCGAAACACAAAATATCTCTTCTTTCCCAATTCTGTCCATGAGAAACCTAAATAAGTTGCATGTTGGGGAAATATCATAATATGATGATACGCCCCTTTAATATCAAACGTATACAGAAAATCACCTTTTGAAAAGACTTGTCTCGCCAAGTCATGACTTTCATAACAAAATTTGTACTTGAATAAATCTGGATTAATATGTCGGCAGTCTAAGACTAACCTCGGTTTACCATGCCTATTATAAGCAACAGTTTACGGGTTTACCACAAAAGGTGCCTCTGTAACTTCTTCTATACAACCTTTAGTGAGAAGGGCTCGAATCTCACTCGAAACAAATGCAGCATTTTCTCTGGCAGACCTATTATTTGTAAGTTCAACAGATTTTGGTAACGTTTTAAAAGGCAACTTATATCCTTCTGAAACTACACTTAAAATATATTCACCTGGCTCCGCCTCTTGCCAGTGCTTAATGCAATTATGCAATCTCCCAACCTGAGACACTACTTTATCTTAAATCTTATCGTTGTCAGACATATGTGAAACATTCTTTATCAAATCATTAGAGCATTTATAGCTTAACTTCATTTTCTCAATATTAAAGTTATCAGACTCCTCAACTCCATTTAACAAAAATGAACCATAATTTATACTTATCTGTGTATTGCCATTCTTATCAGCCTGCAAGTCCATGCGGCACTCTGCCCGCCAATGCCCGGGTTTCCCAACTTGAAGCATAGCCCTGGTTTCCTGTTTTGCTGTCTGTTGATTCGGAGGACGACTATCTGAAGCTGGCAACGCCTTAGTAGCAGGGTACGGTGAAAAGCGTCTAGCTCGTACTCGACGTTCCTGACGAACCTTCCTATCTGCTTGAATTTGTGCTTTGTAGATTTTCTTCTCATCGTCGGAGTTATCTGCCAATGGATGAGACTCGTACTCTTGTACGACACGCCAACCATGCTCTGAACTGTCGGCCAATTTTAAAAAAAAATTTGACGATGTGACAAAATGTCCATACCTTCTGAAATTTTTTCTCTGGCACTGCTAGCAGACAAATTCGAATCTTCCTCAGTAATGGTAGCAAGATAACCGTCTGCTTGTCTCATTTTATCCATAACTTTAGCGTTCACCATAAACTGTTGCTCGTGGCCTTTCTTCTTGAACACATAAGTACCACTAGTACACGCCGAAATTTGATTTTGTGAAATTTCGTTTATTTTCTTCTCAAATGTCTGCTGTCTAGAATCTAACAAAGACTCTAACTAGATAAAATACTGCTTTCTTCCATCCCGAGTCGCAACGGCCGCCACGTGCTAAATTGGAAGTGTAAAATATTTATACAACGTGTCTCTGTGAAATCGTCTGGTAGAATGACCCTCTTTACACATTACAATATACATATTGAGTTAAGTCACGATTCATTAAACACGACTGACCAGTATTCACCCTTTTGAATGCGTAACGCGATAGACAATAATTTCACGCTATTACTATCGAAACGTGTGAAATATTAATTAAAATCATCACTGTACGATAAAGTGTGTAAACAATGTAGTATGAAGTACAACCTTATTGATTAACCCTTGAAAGTAAAAATGTAAAGATGCATGAATGATTAAGTACCGTAGTAAAGAAATAAACCTGTAAAATAATTCAATACCATATTGAGTCTAAAATTGAAGAGTTACAAGAAATATTGTAAAATCACCCGTGCCACATGTGTCATTATTGTCATACTTACTTTTATCACATGCCGTGCTGTGCATATATTTTGACGTGACGTCATTTGCGTAATACAAACATATCGTAATGACGCGCTAAATATTAAGTTAAACTGTTAGCGTGTCAACGAAAAAGATATTCTTTTACTGTAAATTATTCTCATTTGGATAAAAAATAAATAGAATATTATATTCACGTAGCTTCATTACTAAATTAATTGAACTCGTTGACTAAACTAAGTAATATTCTGCTCGCATAAAATAAGTTTATCCAACCCGGTAATAAATTCAGTATTGATTACACAATCATAGAGGTAGCTAGATTAAAAAAATACATTAACTCATTTATTAACAATGAATGAAACAAATCCAGTTCAAGCTTTTAGATATTTATAAAGCAACGAGCAGTTAGATAAAATGATCTATATTTACTTTCAGAATCGACAACCGGAAGTTGTGATTCTCCATTGACAAATGATCTCCGGGACAACCAGTTTTCGGCATCTTCTGAATATGACGTCACGCATAATGCAAGTGCGGCGAGAAACGGTGGTGGTAAGTTCGGGACCTGGTCACCTTTCATACCATTAAATATAAATACAATACTGTACGATTGTACGATAATCAACGTCATCTTCGAATAACGTATAGCATGACATATTATGTTTATAGACAATCCAAATTCTAACTATTCAAGCATGTATCCATATAAATGGTATTTCACTGGAAAAATAATTGTATATAAAGATATAAATTAAACTAAAAATCGCTGTCGATACGCTAGTCAGGTCGTCATTTTCACGAATGATCTTGAAAAATAAATTTTATCATGAAAATATCTTTGATGAAGTTTTAAAATATAATGTCTCAGCAACCGTATGTGCTAACTCATTTCTTCCACTTTGGTGTACAATAAAAATATTGTTCCATTTACTTATCGCGGTGCTCGTTTTTTGCCACTTAATTGCACAATTCTACATTACTTTTGCACATTCCTGCGTTATTTGCACATTCCTGCGTTACTGGATATACACGGTGAGTAAGTGTGATAAATATTTGTTATTTACAGTATTAACACGAATACTAACTAGTTAATGAGATAGTTAACACGATAATTATATGGTTAATGCTGGCAGCAAAATATGCGACAATACGACTGAAACATTTCATAGTTTAATCTAGCTTATTTTACAGCTGGGTGGATTGCTGGCACAAAACAGTTCCAGTACCTGAAAATAGATCTCGAGGATGTTTGGGAAATAACAAAAATCACAGTCGAAGACAGCGATAATGGTTGGTACTCGAGGACATTCAGGTAAATATATTTACGGAAGTTTCAATTCCAGTATCTTTTATTCAAACACATTTGACGTATGGACTATGCAGTGTACTTAGTTCATTACAAAATAAATATTTTGACCACAGTTCCAAACAGTTATATAATTATAATTTTACACCAGCTCGTCTTAAATGAATTGGAAATGTAACGGTTGATTTTTCTATCTTACATTAGTATGTTGAAGTAACAATATGTTTATTATACAGGATATCGTACAGTACTGATGGTTATATATGGATGCCATATAAAATACGGTTATCAGATGATGTGCTCGGAGATTTGATTGAAAGACAAGGACAATCTACAACAACGGATCTTGATCCTTCCATAAAGGTTTTGAGTTCTGTTTTCAAATGTCTGTGTGTGTCTGTTGTTTTAATTATTTGTTTTATGTTTTATTATCTCTCTTTTCTGATATTGGATGGAAATCATTTTTGATTTTGATTGACAAATGTAAAGTTTCCCGACGTAAATATATGTTTGTCCATCATATCGTTCATTAATTGCTTAAGGTCAATGAGTTCTTTCATATTAGAGGCAATACAGCTAACTTTTTAATGAATACAACTTCTACTTTAATTAACCACCGTGCCGAACATATCCAAATGTTGTCTTGGTTTATTCACCTGGTAATATGGTGTAACTTACATGCTAAATTATGTACAAAAATACCTGCATGTAGTTAATTTTATATTACAATTCATGTCATTTTAATTTATTTATTTGAATATTGTTCATGTCGGAGGTTTTTTTTATGTTTTGCATTATAAATTACAACAGTGATTTAGCCATGCCTTTTGTGTTGCATTTATAGACTATATACCGTACTATGATGTACAAATGTAATAAATAACAAATTTCTCGAGACCACTTATTTTGAAGTAATTGCCTCTTTAATCGGTATTTTATTAAATTGTTGTTTCAAAGTAATATATTTTATTGTTGTTTATGTTACCGTAGGCGACATATATGTAGTTGTTTTTATATGACTTGAAATGTAACATTTCAGGCCCGATATTTGACGTTCAGCCCAGTATTATATTACAATTGGATGTATCCTTCACTGCTGATAGAGTTATTTGGATGTCAGCACTCAAACGCACCAGATGTGGATGTCACTTCCGTCGGAAAGAGTATTGACGTAAGAAAAATAAAATAAATATAAGTAAACAATAAATTGATCGAACATTTACCATGGTCAATGCCTCTGGGTATTTAAAATAGTTGATTTCGAATAACTTATCCTTTATTCGTAGTTAGTTCGATTACAAAAAGGAGGTAATTGTTTCATTAAAATGTTGTGAATTGTCACTTATAAACTTGTAAAGAATAATACACAATTTCTTAAGGTATACTATTGTTGTTAATTACCACATACTAGTATTAAATCTCAGTTAGTCATAGTATATTTGTGTACATATTAGGTGGATACCACATGGATTCCAAGTCAAAGTCCAATTATTGTCAATGATATGATAGTTGTACGACCAGCGGCCACATTAACGATACAAGCAGGTGTATCTGTTGTCTTCTTGTCAGAGAATTCTGGAATTGAAGTTTGGGGTAAATAAAAAGTTTAAAAGAAATAATAGGAAAACTAACGGTGACTTATAACATTTTCATAGGTTGTTCTACATACAGGCAGTCGGTGAGTGGTCTTTTAATTTCGTCCATATATACTGTAAATAAAGACAAGGTAAAAGGTTCTACATTTCTGGACATTTCATTTGACCCGAGTTTTTCGTAATGCGCATGCTCTATTTCGGTTTCCCGCTGTTACCTAGCTTCATTTTATCTTCACTATGCGGAACGGGGTACACGTAAAGGATATCCGGTACATGACTTGTTTATACATGAAATGCCGGAAATTTAAGAAATTAGTGCAAATAACTGAATGTGCCTACCCGTAGACATTTTGGATTAAATTTGGACCGGTAAGCGAAAGTTGAAAGCGGTCTTAACAGTTTCAGTTGTTTGCATGCATTGTTTTTATTTGAAATAGATAGAATAGATCGATTAATGTTCAAAACCGTCTTCTTACGTCAAGCGATGTCCGATCAAGACAAAAAAGTTTTGGTTTCAAATTCGATCTTTTTCTGTATAAACTGGTATTACAGTAAACAATGTTGGAAACAGAAATCATTTCGTCGATTGCATTTTATTTGGTGAAAATTGGTTGAAAATTAACAAAAATGTGGGACTAATGATAAGGCCGGGTGATAGTTCCCGTGAACCTTTTTACCTTGTCTTTATTTATAGTATATATGGATGAAATTAAAAGAAATCACACACCGACTGCCTTTTGTTCTTCATAGTTTATTTAAACATCACTTACGAACATAAGTAAAAATACACCAAAGTCAATAAGGAAATTGTGTAAATTCCAATCAAACATGTTTAGCATGCTTATTAAATCTTTCTATTTCTACAAATCAGTATGAATAAATTGAAAGTATCGGTCATATAGTGTTTTTGTTTTCAAGGAACTTTCATTTCAAACGGAATACCTGGACTTAATGTATTGTTGAGCTCCGAATATCCGGCTTTGTCGGCTCATTCACGATGGATTGGCATTACACAAAATACAGGAGGTTAGTTATCTAATTTACCCATTATCTTCATTTTTACTCCATCACATAGTTTTTGAAACGTCTGTCCAAACAAACAAAGCTATGGTACAATGTATTTAACATGCATTTTATTAAGTAATTGTATGCACTATGAAATCAGGTAGGTTGACCCTATTTGTTTCAAGTTTAGAAAATGTCCTGATATCAATGATTTCAATAATGCATCAATGTGTCAACAAGTGTCATAGCCGCGGCACATATATTTTACAACTTTAACAAGACAATGTAGCAAACGTTCGATACTGAAAAGTACACTATCAAGTAATATAACGGTGACAAGAATCTTTCAGAAGTAATTTGTCTCTCATATAGTCGGTGTAAAGATAATCGTGTAGTCGGTGTATAGGTAATTATGTTGTTGGTGTATAGGTAATAATGTAGTCGGTGTAAAGATAATCGTGTAGTCGGTGTATAGGTAATAATGTTGTTGGTGTATAGGTAATAATGTAGTCGGTGTAAAGGAAATCGTGTAGTCGGTGTATAGGTAATTATGGTGTTGGTATATAGGTAATCATGTAGTCGGCGTATAGGTAATAATGTAGTTGGTGTAAAGATTATCGTGTACCCGTTGTTTAGGTAGTCGTGTTGTCGGTGTGAAGGAAATCATGTAGTCGGTTTATAGGTTATCATGTTGTCGATGTAAAGGTAATCGTGTAGTCGTTGTATAGGTAGTCGTGTAGTCGGTGTGAAGGTAATCATGTAGTCAGTTTACATGTTATCATGTTGTCGATGTAAAGGTTATCATGTTGTCGTTGTATAGGAAATACCGGGCTGGTGTAAAGGTAATCATGTTGTCGGTGTATAGGTAATTATGTTGTTGGTATATAGGTAATCATGTAGTCGGTGTATAGGTAATAATGTAGTCGGTGTATATATAATCTTGTAGTCCATGTATAAGTAATCATGTTGTTGGTGTAAAGGTAATCATGTAGTCGGTGTATAGGTTATCATGTAGTCGGTGTATAGGTAATCACGTAGTCGGTGTACAGGTCATAATGTAGTTGGTGATAACGTGATCATGTAATCGGTGTAAAGGTTATCATATAGTTGGTGTAAAGGTAATCATGTAGTTGGTGTAAATGTTATCGTGTGGTCGTTGTATAGGAAGTCGTGTAGTCAGTGTGAAGGTAATCATGTAGTCAGTTTACATGTTATCATGTAGTCGGTGTATAATTTCTCATGTAATCGATGTAAAGGTAATCATGTAGTCGGTGTATAGGTAATCATGTAGTCGGTGTATAGGTAATCATGTAGTTGGTGTAAAGGTAATCATGTAGTCGGTGTATAGGTAATCATGTAGTCGGTGTATAGGTAATCATGTAGTCGGTGTATAGGTAATCATGTAGTCGGTGTAAAGGTAATCATGTAGTCGGTGTATAGGTAATCATGTAGTCGGTGTATAGGTTATCATGTTGTCGGTGTATAGGTAATCATGTTGTCGGTGTAAAGGTAATAATGTAGTCGATGTATAATTTCTCATGTAGTCGATGTAAAGGTAATCATGTAGTCGGTGTATAGGTAATCATGTAGTCGGTTTATAGGTAATCATGTAGTTGATGTACAGATAATCATGTAGTCGGTGTATAGGTAATCATGCAGTCGGTGTATAGGTAAACTGTATTTAATTTGAGAACATTCAAAGTTAAGTAACTGATTATTCTAACACGCTCCACATTATTCGCCTATCAAATAAATAGGGCAATCACAGCATAAAAATGAATGCTTTCGCGTCATATGACGTCAGATATGACGCCAGACATGACGTCAGGAAAATTACTTCTACGCTCAATGTAGTTCAACATATTGCTATCTATTCTCACTGCGAAAAAGACATGGATATACGGAAGTGTACGGAATTCCGTATATCATTAATATACGTGTAAGAATACGGGAAACTTGAAATACGGAGATGTACGGGACCGTATATTATACCAGTCCGTACATGACTAGTATACGAACTCCGTACACTCGTAATATACGGGAACTTTGATGTACGAAGTCCGTATTTTACTAATATACGGAATTTTTATAACAAGTCCGTATATTACTAAAATACGAAATTCCGTATTCGTGCAAATACGGAATCTGTATATAGAAATAGCGAATGAAAATTTACTTCTGAATAGCCTATTTTCTGTAAGAGTAAAGAAATAGTCTGATCATATATTTGTCAGACATTTGACAATTAACACAATGCAAAATTTCCTGGAGTTATTAACGCGTCAATTGCGTACAAATAATATCGTCAGTGCACAGAACGTGTAAGACATTCACCTGTAACATGCAGACGCGGTATTCTAGGTTTGCTTTTTAGCATACACCCGCAGATAAATAGCGAATACTTTACAATTGCGATTGCCGATTAGATAGTACTGTTTTGCATTTTGCATCTATGGTGAATCATGTTATTTTGTAATTTCCTTATCATTATCATTATAATATTTTATAATGATAAGCCAAACATGAGAAAATGCTAAAGTTGAAATTGTGATGTTCAAAACATGAATTAATTACAATAAAATCGTGAATCTGTGAAGTTGAAATCGTGAAAGTTAAAATAATTGTGAAATCACGAAGATGAAATCGGGATTGTCCACACAGCAATTAAATTTTACGTTGATATATTATTGATAAATATATAATATTGATATATAAAAAATAGGCTATACATAATATAATACATATACTTGCATATGTAAAAAAAACCCAATGATATCTCATTCATTCATTCATTCATTCATTCATTCATTCATTCATTCATTCATTCATTCATTCATTCATTCATTCATTCATTCATTCATTCATTCATTCATTCATTCATTCATTGAATCAATCTACCAATCATTCATTCATTTATTTATTCATTCATTCATTGCTCATTTATTCATATATTTCTTATTTATTATTTATTTATTTATTTATTTATTTATTCAATCAATCATTCATTCATTCATTTCATTCATTCATTCATTCATTCATTCATTCATTCATTCATTTATTCATTTATTTCTTATTTATTTATTTATTTATTTATTTATTTATTTATTTATTTATTTTTATTTCAGGAAACAAAGATTTGCGTTTCTGTACACAAGTTTTGAATAGAAATCTTATGAAGTTCCGAATTCCCCAATTTTGATTCTTTTCGCGCGGTCTCATTTATGACATAATATTGTGTAATAGCCACGTGCTGTATTGCCATAATCGAAGACAATACTGATTAAGCCGGATATTGATCCGGATATTGATCATAAACGCAGCAGGGTATATCGAGTGTCGGTTTTCTCCGATTAGGTAAGTTAGCGCAATTGGGGTTGAATGTCTTAACGGTATTTTCTAATATAATTCATGTACGAAATAAGGGAATTAAATTGTGATCTCATAACCGAGTTTCTATGTGATTTTGTTCCAGATATTATAAAGACTCTAACCCGACATATTAAAATGAAACAGACATAGCTACTATATTCTTTCCAATGTTTTTGCAGCGTCGTGTTGTTGTTATCCTTTAATTTGGCGGAATTCGTCATTTAAACAAGACACAATTAAGATTTATCTTAAAGTAAACTTTAAAGTACTCTGCCGCCAGGTCCAATTATATCTAAGTTAACAAGCTAGAATCAGATGGATGTCACTGGGGTGTATGTACATGTAATGTTGATAGATGATGTCAAATTATTGGAAATAGCATTTCTTGAAAAATATCATCATCTTCTCCCGAGTTTCCTCGTCTCCCATCAGCCGTGTTTCTGCATAATTCGGTGACTTGAACATTGTTCAGGACAGGGGAACATGACCGTGCTATGTAAATTAACATTTGTTACTTTGTTAAAATAAAATTATGTATCTAGGAAACATTTTTTGTAAAAGTAAATTTCTGTTTAAAAACATAAAAATTGTCGTAGTTTGATTTAAAAACTCAAGTTAAGAACATACTAAATTATATATTGATTTTTAAATTGGACTTTCGAATTTTTACCGATACTCCAAATATCCTTATACTAATAAAGTTTTATTTTAATTATGAAATCCGCAGATAATGTGAAAGGATCTTTATACTTGTATATTTATGTGTGTAAGTAAGAGGTAAGTAAGTAAGTAATTTATTTATTTTAATGGGGATACGGACAAAAGTCCCCCCCCCGGTCGAAAGCCCCCCACTCCCCATTTAGAAATGACAAGGTGGACAAAAGCCCCCCCCCTTTAATTTACACGTAGGACAAAGCCCCCCCCCCTTCAAAAACACAGGTAGGACAAAAGCCCCCCCCCCCAGTCCATCTCCGTCTATCTCTCGTCAGTTTAAATCTGGAACTTAATGTATTTTAACAAATAAATGCAATTGTTTTAAAAGATAATTTACATTAAGATTTAAATTTAAAGGTACAAAAGTTCTAATTTGATTTATTGTGTAATTCGTACTTATAATTCATTGATGATATGAATGTTTTTATGTTTACTTTATTATATATTGTGCAGTACAAATGTAAATTAATATTTTCAGAGAACCGCTTTTCAAAGCTTATCAAGGAAATAAAATTGAAAGGCGCATACTTGTCTAGATTTATTTGAAGTATAACCCAAGTTCCCGAACACTGGGCGTGTAAAAATAGAAAGTAATCAGTCTGGTCTATAAACCTTAGGGAGGCTTTTGTTTGATGGACGGGGGTGGGGGGCTTTTGTCCTGTGTGTAAATTTAATGTGGGTCTTTTGTTTTACCCGCTTATTATTGTTATCACAAAAATTTGTGTAATTTATAAATATTTCTTAGCGCTTCTAAAACGTCTTTTATTATTATTATTATTATTATTATTATTATTATTATTATTATTATTATCATCATCATCATCATTATTATAATTATTATTACTATTATTATTATTATTATTATTATCAAAAAAATGAATAACCGATTGAGCATTAGAATCAAAGTTTTGCCTATGAAAAAGTATCAATGGTTATGTTATACATATATGCAAAGTTATCGTTTATGGATACATGATATTTCCAATTTAATATTGCATTATTTTGGATCGAATAAAGGTCTTAGTATGCTGGTTTCTTACGCATTATCACCGACCTTAGTATAAATCCGTGGCATTATTAATGCTAAATGCTTTATCACACAAACGGTATCTAGGCATATCAAGCGTTTTCAAAACAGCCAATGAGTTTAAAGCGTTGGTTTTGTATCACGTGAATCCTATCAACCAATCAGAAATAGCGCGGGCGAAATGAAAAAAGAAAAAACGGGATTGGAAATGGATAGTAAATAAAATTCAGAATATTGCAAAACAAGGTAGGTTAAAAGTTATTTTTTATCGTTGCAATATCAATATGCGATCAATAGAATAGTTGCATTTTGTGAACAACAGCTTATTTCAGGGTTAAACTGATTTGTTTTTAGAAAACTTTAACACTGTTTAATCTGTTTCGCTATCCAATATGGCCGCCGGATTAGATAATTAAAGCAGGGATATATCCCTAAATTTAGACTGGGAGGTTACGAGTTTGATTTTGATTTCTAAACTGTATCTTGTTTCATTAATAATTTGTATGAAAAATGCAAAAACAAAAAAAAATGAAAAGGGCATTTGTTAAATGCGTTAATCATAACTCCCTTCAGGGTAAAAAAGACACCGAGTTAAAAATTACGATATTTTAACACCGAAGATGTCAAGGTATTACAGCCCCTGGACATGGTAGTACAAAGGGATTAATCAGTGTGTGTGACACGACCTATGTATGCTTAATTGGTCAACTGATTGGACTTTATAATCTTAAGCGATCTCAATTATCACTTAACAGCAGGGGTGCGAATCAATGTGCAAGAAAGATCATATCGAAAAGAGACACTCAAATTCTATTTATTTTAATAGTAATTTATGAAATTGATAGCCGAAAAATAGGTTATGTTTTATCTATTCAATATAATAACAAAAATTATCAGATTTAACAGATTAACATATTTTAAAGGAAAATTGCTTAGTACTTCTAAAAAATAGGTTTTTAAATTTTCAGATAAAATTGTTTCTCAGTCTTGATAATTTAACGAGCAGAATACTTGTTTTATATTCGCAGTTTTTATTTTTATACAAATCCCCATTATTTGATGCAAACATAAGTCAATTTAAAGACTCCGCTCTTTTCAATTTTATTCACTTTTTTTAAGTTTCTGTACACATGTTGTTATATATTTCTTATTTATATTAACCTATTCTTAAATGAATACAAATCTTAAACAAAAATAGGAAACAAACATTTCTTTTTTATTTAAATCATAATACATTTAGATGAATAAATAAAATGAAAATAATTGTCAGAATTTTTTATTTACACTAATACAAAGAATGTGTATGATTGCATGTAATATGACCGACAGGTGTTAAGTTTAACAGTTAACTGTTAATTCACTTACCCTTGGTGTCAAAACATATGAGCCGCGTCAGGACAAAACCAACATAATGGGTTTGCGACCAGCATGGATCCAGACCAGCCTGCGCATCCGCGCACTCTGATCAGGATCCACGCTGTTCGCTATCGGTTTCTCTACTTGTTATAGAGTTTGTAAGCGAACAGCATGGATCCTGATCAGACTACGCGGATGCGCAGGCTGGTCTGGATCCATGCTGGTCGCAAACCCATTGTGTTGGTTTTGTCGTGACGCGGCTCATATGTTTATTTTTACATTGATACGAAGCTTAGATCAGGAGCCTGTTGTCGGTGAAATAATTTTAAAACTCGTGAATATAAAATATCGCAACGAACCAGAAGTTTTAAAACGGTTTTGTTTGTATTGTTTTAGCATTAATAGTAATTAGCAAGATCGAGTTTACTCGCTATTCAGGACAGACAACTCTTGGTTTTCATTCGATATTTTTGGTTATTTATCTACGTTATTCAGGATTACCCAGATTTTAAATTGTATATACATGAACTGAGTTTTCGACATTTACAATGGATTTTTTATTGGACAAATTAAAATTTAAATATTTTTTTCTTATTATAATTAAAACTCTTTGTTTAGTTTTTAAGATAAACATTACGCATCAGGTGATATCGCATGGGTCAGTCACAAACACGCGCCTGTTTGAGGAAACAGTTATTTAATATTTCATTATACATGAATTTAAACGCTTGAAAAACTATTTTGAGCCTTTGTACATCACACATTTTTCGACATTCCATATTTTGACTTATATTTCACATAAAGCAATATGGTAATACTCGCACGCACGAACACACAAAATACATAACTACACATGCACATAAAAGTGAACACGTTCCTACAGTATTAACACTTTCGCACATGTGATCACTTATGAAATATGTTCAATGTGCTCTTTATCATTTTATGCTGAAGTTATATTATGATTTTTCAGGACAGTTAAATCTTCTAGAAATGCAGCTGTGCCCTCTTTACAGCAATTGTAGATGAAGCAAAGTATGGTAGCAAGTTATATAGATGTAAGTTCACGTATATATATTGTTGTGTTTTGTGAATAGAATAAGACAATTACACGGACATACTGTCTGTAAAGAAGAGTTACCCAGACTCATATATATTCCACTCTGTACTGACATCATGTGTTTAATTCTTTCTCAAGGCAAAGTCAAATTTCCTTAATTACACGCATTTATTTTGACAATAATAAATGTGGTAAGTAATTCATACATTGGTTCTCTTTTATATCTTGTTAGAATCAATTCTTAGGCGGAATGATGTCACACTTCATAAAATGATGTCAATTAAGGCATATATGATATAAGCATTTTGCCGCGCATTTGAAAATGCTAAACCATACTTGCTTTTAATATGCAAAAATCAAATATATAAAATATAAGAATTAAATCGAACACACACAATGGTTTGACATAGATGCAATGTGCATGCGACTTTATTTTATTAAATTTGTTTTCTTTTCTTAAACATATTACTGTATCAAAAAATATTCAAGAATTCAAAAACCTAGCTAAACGTCGTTTTCCGGTACTTTCTGTATATAGCTCTGGGGAATTCACCTAATGGATTGTAATAGCGAACTCGATGTTTTCGGCCTTTTTTTTTATTTTTTTTAAATTAAATTGAAATAAAACTGTTATTTCTTTATAAGAAAATAATTAAATATCATTGTATGAATAATTCCATACAAAAAATAAAGTAAATACACAAGTTTACGCAGAAAATAACCTTATTTATTATGGAAGATTCCACTACGTCTGTTTAAATTTTATTGATTTTCATCATAAACAATTTATTTTTTTTGAAAAATTTGAGAGGATATTAAATGAATATTGATAATTTTCAAAAACATCATATTTTTTTACCTTAAACGGTAAAATAATGATAGAAAAATAGAAATATCATGTAACTGTGTTATGTATTTCATTTGGTGTAATTCCCCAGAGCTAAATCCGTAACGTACCGGAAAACGGTGTTTAGCTAGGTTTTCGAAAAGGTCACCTTTCTTAACAGTTTAATCACTTTTATATATGTTATTGATATGTAGTAGTCATAGTACTTTTGCAGTGCAATAGTATTTCGTGCAAACTTAACTATAGTTGAAACAGTCTGTGTACAGTATCATGCATTGGTATAAGTTTGCACCAACTTGCTAAATAGGGCTAAATATAGCTACATTTAAAACAAAATGAGAAGTTAATAGAAAATATCACAGCATTTATAATCTTTACAATAAATGATACAAAACTTTCCTACCTGATTGATAATTATAAAGCAATATTTTTGGGAAAAAGGTGCAATCCGAGCCTAGCTGTCTTGCATTGATATTTACCACAACCTTACCTACTGCATTACGCTGAGAGTTGGTAAATTTGTTGATAATTTAATTTATATAGCTAGCCTGTTTGAAGATAATAAACACAATATGATAGCTGTTTTACACCTGGATAGTGGACTTGACCACCTCGTCACTTAATTATCATACTAAACGCACAGTACTTGTGCGCACGTGAAACATATTGCGTTGATACGTAAATATTTCACGTGCGCACGTAATAGTCGCATTCGCATGTATTAACTAAAATATTTCCTATGTTATTTTATGCAATTGTCACATATGATACGTATATTTTATTATCTGAATTTGATTTCATACTATCAGATTAATGCTATAGGCAAGGGAGGATATTTTGATTTATATTTCGTGAGAATTATCACTTTATTTTTAGAGATGACACACTGTAAGAGATTCTATTGTCAACTTACCTAGTTAAACAGTCTTAACAATAAAAAAATATTAATCTACACTATTGTATATTGAAGGTATTCATTCGTTGCTGAGATTGTTTTTGAAACAATTGAAATTGAAACAAATAATAATGCAAATTTGTTAAGATTAACGTTTAATATAAATGAGAAGTATAGCTGGGTATTCCGCCTTTTACTTAACTGGATATCATTGTGCAAACACGGATCTACATCTGAGTAAAAATATCTGTTCTTTTTAAGCCTTTTTTCAAACGAATTGACTCCTACTAACGACGCTAATTTACATCGTAAAACGATCAAAAAGATTATGTCAGCACTTTTTCCCAATACAATGTTATTTTGTATTAATATATTTTTAATCAATAAAACACTCTTTACATAGAACAAAGATACCATTATCATTTATATTACAGGTGTGAAATAAATATATTCGTAAAGGTTTTATAACAAAAACATATAACTTATCATCCGTCATAGATTAATCATTTCATTTAAATCCTGTGTAAATGGTTGCTTATAAATGACATCTTTATCCTAATAATATAAAATAATTTTGAAATTTGCGTTAGAAAAAAAATGTATAAATGTATACGCTTAAAAATGCTTGTGTATAGTCTTTTTGAAAGTTGTGATAACTATTTCATGACACTATTTAAACAGGATTTTAAACTCTCTTTTTCAGATACACACATGCCGAAGAAGATTGTAATATCTGGAGATAACATTTCCTACGTCACGAAATAGACACCGTCACACTGGTCTACGTAACATTCCTATAGATGATTGATATATTTAAGTGCTTTTAAGAACTGTGTTTGAATGACGAATTTCTGTGAATACGGATTTTTAGTTTTAATTATTATTATTTAAACTTTCTGTAATAATCAATTTGTGCTATGAACTCATTTTCCTAAAATAATATGTGAATGTTAACACGAACAAATGATATGAATATCTTCAAAATATTTTATGGGTGTAATACAAGTGGCTCATAAAAATCATTGTTAAGATAAATAGAATCGAATTTCAAGTTGGTATAGTTTGTTCTAGATTTAAACAACATGCAATTCATAAAGGTTACGGCTTGAAAATATCGAAACATGTACATGTATAACTCGATCTCTATGATACGTATTTCATGACTCTGTATCGCATCATACCGGTATATCGCCGTTCCGTTGCAACGCTACATTAATTTGTCCCTCTGGAATAAGGCTTGCAACAATATATGACTGTTGTAGCGAAGACATGTTTATTTTGTTTAATATATGTATACATATTGAATATATGTTTATGAAATAATAAATATTTAAGAGTGACTCGATTTGGTTTTTACTTTATTATTTGAAATACTCGGGTTACACGACTTACCGGAATCGACCGAATTACCGGAATCGACCGGAATCGGCGGTGAATTACCGGAATCGACCTGCAACTTTGTAATAATTAAACTTTTTAAGTTTTTTCTTGCAATTTTATAAAGTATAAACAATATCAATGATTTATGAAAAGATTTTTATAAATAAAATCGCTTTTGATTAATTTAACAAGAGATCTAATATCGGCGAGCTACTGCCAAACTGCACGTGACCGGAATCGGCCTGTTATTTCGTTGTTTATGCAACTTTTAATGTTCCTTTTGCATGTTTTTATAAAACCTAAATATTATCATTAATCTTCCTAGAGATTGTGGAAAAAATTCGCTTTTAAATAATAATAATAATAAACAAATATTTATGATCAGCGACAACGGGCAAACTGCCGGAATCGGCAAAGGATTACCGAAATCGGCCTGTAATTTGCTTATCTATATACTTTAAACAAAATGTTTGCACCCTTGATTATAAATAAACAATAGCAATGATATGTAATCAGATTATTGTCAATAAAATCACATTTTATTAATTAAACAAGATATTTAATATCGGCGAGTTACTGCCATACTGTCGGAATCTGCGAAGGATTACCGGAATCGACGTATAATTTAGTCTATTGTACTTTTTAACGTTTTTGTTGCATTGTTAATATTCATCTTATAAAATATAAATATTATGAAAGATATTTAAAAGTTTCTTTCTTTCTTTTATTTTGTAAATTTCAATTCGCCTTTGGTTAATAAAGCAAGAGATCGAAGATCGGCGAGTTACATATACTGTCATACAGCCGAAATAGGCGAATGATTACCGGAATCGGCCTGTATTATTGTAATTTATGGACTTTGCAAGAAACAAATGCAAACAATATAATAGATATCTAAAAAGATTTCTGTAAATGAAGAATCCTTATTAAATAATAAGCTTTAGATCTAAAGTCGGCGAATTACTGCCATATCGCATATTTGCAGCGCCAGGGCTATCGGAGAATTACCGGAATCGGTCTGTTTTTCCCCACCAATATTTCAACGTTTAAAAAATAACCTTGACTTATTTTATTAAATACAAACAATATAAAAGATTTGTATAATGTTTATTGAAAAGAAGCAAAAGATTTATAAAAAATTGCTGTTATAAATAGTAAAAAGATTAATATTGAAGATCGGCAAGAACGGGAAACCTGTCGGAATAGGCGATAGATTACCGGAATCGACCTGTAATTTGGTTATTTGTGAACTTTTCAAATATTTCTTTTGCATGTTTTTATAAGATATAAACATTTTCAACGATATTCATTTTTGTTAATAAATTCGCTTTTGATTAATAAAACAAGAGACCTAAGATCGGCAAATTACTGTCATTCTGCCGATATAGGGGAAGGATGGGCGGAATCAGCCTGTAATATAGTTATTTTTATGTTATTTTATTGAATGCAAATAATATCATTGATATACGAAGATTTTTTTGAGAAATAAAGATCACTTTTATATTATAAACTAGATATCTAAGATAGAATAATTACTATCACAGTGCCTGAATTAACAGGTAAATACCGGAATTAGTCTGGGTTTTTTTTGGTTATATTTCAGCGTTTTAAAAATATCTTGCCATGATTTATTAAATACAAACAATTCAAATGATATTTGATAATATTTATTGCAATTGCTATTACATAATAAACAAGGTGATCTATGATTTCTTCCATACTACCGAATCGACGAGCGATTACCGGAATCGGCTTCACTTCGTCTAGGATTACTAGAATCGGTTCTAATTTTGTTATGAATGTGAACTCAATAATATTATTATCATTTATTTTTGCATGTATTTACAAACATTATCATTGATCTTTTATGGAATAATGCAATATCGTCTTTACATTATATTTTTCAGGACATTGCTAACAGAGGATTGTTTGAAATGACGGATAACAATAGGTCAGTTTTGTCTTTCTTTATGTTTGCATAACTCAATTCTTGATTTCATAAAGTAGTCGATTTATAATTACATGCAATAATTTTTATTTGAATCTTTATTTAAACAATACAAACCTCATAAAATATTCACATGAAATCAATGTTTTACCAGGCAGTTACTTGACAGTCCATGGTCATTCTGGAGTATCAAATCAATTATCGTCATTTGCGTTATTGGTGCACCATAAAATATTACAAAGATTGCGAATTAGTCAATCGTTGAAACATATATTCTTTAGCTGTGTATTGGGAAGTGTGATATACTACAAAACAGTGGGGTGCCAATATCCGGTATGCTGATATATTTCATAGTGGGAGAGACTATCTGTTAGAGAATGCCTGTTGTTCAGCAAGCTGTAGATGAATTAAGTCATAGGATTTATTGAACTTCATAATTTTTAAAGACTTAAGATTAAGTCAATGTAAAAACAAAACAACAATATAAACACCCTGTATAGATCTAAAGATTCTTTTCAAAGTTTAGCATAATTTCTAACCGTTTGACCCATTTAATTATTAATAAACAATGGAAGAAGATCCTTTAAGTAAAGGACTATGATATATACATGTAGTTATCTATGTCTCTGGCTTATGACACTGAATTAATAATGACATTTTCCGCGAACATCCCAAATAAACACACAATAGTTTTTTAATGTGATGTATATATATTTTTTCATCTTTGATTAAATATAAACAATATCAATGATATGTAATCAGATTTTTGTAAATAAAATCTCATTGATAAATGATTAATTAAACAAGATATTTAATATCGGCGAGTTACTACCATACTGTCGGAATCGACGAAGGATTACCGAAATCGGCGTATAATTTGGTTATTAATGAAGATTAAAAAAAAAGTTCTTGCATCTTTATACAATATCAATGAAATGTAAAAAAATGTTAATAAAATCGCTTTTGATTAATTTAACAAGAGATCTAATATCGGCGAGCTACTGCCAAACTACCCGAATAACAATCCTTCCGACAGTATGACAGTAACTTGCTGATCTAGTTTAATTAATAAAGCGTGATTTTGTTTATGTGTACGTGTCAATTCTTAAAAAGTTCATAAATAAAATTACTGGTCGATTCTGGTAATAATTCCCCGATTCAAGCAGTATGACAGCTGGGACATACGATATACCGTATGTCCCAGATGATAGTAACTTGCTGATCATAATTAAATCTCCTGTTTAATGAATCAAATGTATTTTTTATAAAAAAAAAATCTTATTACATGTCATTAATTGTTTATATTTTATAAAAGTTTAAAAGTTCATGAATAACAAAATTACAGGCCGATTCCGGTAATCATTCCTCGATTCCGGCAGTATGACAGTAACTAGCTGATCTTAAGTATGTTGCTTAATTAATCTTAAGCGATTTTTATTTATAAAAATATTTTTACATGTCATTAACATTGTTTATATTTTATAAAAGATGCAAGATTTTTTTTTAAAGTTCATAAATAACAAAATTACAGGCCGATTCCGGTAATCATTCCCCGATTCCAGCTACAGCTTGCTTAACAACACGCTTTCTCTAACAGACAGACCCTCCCACTATGAAATATATCAGCATACCGTATATTGGCACCCCACTGTTTTGTAGTATATCACACTTCCCAATACACAGCTCCCAATATACAGCTCGTTTACTTCCAATAAAGTGACAGTATCATCTGTGCGTATATGGTTAACATCCATATCTCACTGTTTTATACGTTACGGGTATATATGATTTGTTTACTATTTAAGACTAAATAATATATGTTTCAACGATTGACTTATTCGCAATCTTTGTAATATTTTTTATGGTGCACCAATAACGCAAATGACGACAATTGATTTGATACTCCAGAATGACCTTGAACTGTCAAGTAAGTACGATTTAACTGCCTGGTAAAACATTGATTTCATGTGAATATTTTATGAGGTTTGTATTGTTTAAATAAAGATTCAAATAAAAATTATTGCATGTAATTATAAATCGACTACTTTATGAAATCAAGAATTGAGTTATGCAAACATAAAGAAAGACTAAACTGACCTATTGTTATCCGTCATTTCAAACAATCCTCTGTTAGCAATGTCCTGAAAAAATATAATGTAAAGACGATATTGCATTATTCCATAAAAGATCAATGATAATGTTTGTAAATACATGCAAAAATAAATGATAATAATAATATTGAGTTCACATTCATAACAAAATTAGAACCGATTCTAGTAACCCTAGAAGAAGTGAAGCCGATTCCGGTAATCGCTCGTCGATTCGGTAGTATGGAAGAAATCATAGATCACCTAAACATTTATTATGTAATAGCAATTGCAATAAATATTATCAAATATCATTTGAATTGTTTGGATTTAATAAAATATGGCAAGATATTTTTAAAACGCTGAAATATAACAAAAAAACAGACTAATTCCGGTATTTACCTGTTAATTCAGGCACTGTGGTAGTAATTAGTCTATTTTAGACATCTAGTTTATAATAAGAAATGACCTTTATTTCTCAAAAAATCTTTTTTTATCAATGATATTATTTGCATTTAATAAAATAACATAAAAATAACTATATTACAGGCTGATTCCGCCCATCCTTCCCCTATATCGACAGTATGACAGTAATTCGCCGATCTTAGGTCTCTTGTTTTATTAATCAAAAGCAAATTTACTTACAAAAATGAATATCGTTGAAAATGTTTATATCTTATAAAAACATGCAAAATAAATATTTAAAAAGTTCACAAATAACCAAATTACAGGTCGATTCCGGTAATCCATCGCCTATTCCGACAGGCTTCCCGTTTTTGCCGATCTTCAATATTAATCTTTTTATTATTATATAACAGCGATTTTTCATAAATCTTTTGCTTCTTATTTAATACTGATTTCAATAAACATTATAAAAATCGTTTATATTGTTTGTATTTAATAAAATAATTCAAGGTTATTTTTTAAACGTTGAAATATTGGTGGGGAAAAACAGACCGATTCCGGTAATTCCCCGATAGCCCTGACACTGCATATATGCGATATGGCAGTAATTCGCCGACTTTAGATCTCTAGCTTATTATTTAATAAGGATTCTTCATTTACAGAAATCTTTTTAGATATCAATGATATTGTTTTCATTTTTTTTCTTGCAAAGTCCATAAATTACAATAATACAGGCCGATTCCGGTAATCAGTCGGCTATTTCGGCAGTATGACAGTATATGTAACTCGCCGATCTGCGATCTCTTGCTTTATTAACCAAAGGCGAATTGAAATTTACAAAAGAAAAGAAAGAAAGAAACTTTTAAATATCTTTCATAATATTTATATTTTATAAGATGAATATTAACAATGCCACAAAAACGTTAAAAAGTACAATAGTAAATTATACGTCGATTCCGGTAATCCTTCGCAGATTCCGACAGTATGGCAGTAACTCGCCGATATTAAATATCTTGTTTAATTAATAAAAAGTGATTTTATTGACAATAATCTGATTACATATCATTGCTATTGTTTATTTATAATCAAGGGTGCAAACATTTTGTTTAAAGTATATAGATAAGCAAATTACAGGCCGATTTCGGTAATCCTTTGCCGATTCCGGCAGTTTGCCCGTTGTCGCTGATCATAAATATTTGTTTATTATTATTATTATTTAAAAGCGAATTTTTTCCACAATCTCTAGGAAGATTAATGATAATATTTAGGTTTTATAAAAAAAACATGCAAAAAGAACATTAAAAGTTGCATAAACAACGAAATAACAGGCCGATTCCGGTCACGGGCAGTTTGGCAGTAGCTCGCCGATATTAGTTCTCTTGTTAAATTAATCAAAAGCGATTTTATTTATAAAAATCTTTTCATAAATCATTGATATTGTTTATATTTTATAAAATTGCAAGAAAAAACTTTAAAAAGTTTAATTATTACAAAGTTACAGGTCGATTCCGGTAATTCACCGCCGATTCCGGTCGATTCCGGTAATTCGGCCGATTCCGGTAAGTCGTGTAACCGGAAATACTCCATTTGTGAAGATAAAGTTCTTAAGCACATGACTTTACAGTTCCCATTCAAAATTTGTAATAAAACATGTTCTATTGTACAAGTCTGCATTTCGGTCATGTATACGTGTCACTTATATGTAAATGCATGCTTTTGATATTATCTGTATCTTCTTTTATCAAGAAAATACAGTTCTGTATTCCCTGTGGACAACTAAAAAATGCAATTCCGTATATCCCCTGTATATATTGAAAATACGATTCCGTATATCCCCTGTATATGTAGAAAATACGATTCCGTATATCTTCTGTATATGTAGAAAATACGATTCCGTATATCATCTGTATATGTGGAAAATACGAGTCCGTATATCCTCTGTATATGTAGAATATACGGTTCCGTATATCCTCTGTATACGTAGAAAATACGAGTCCGTATATCCTCTGTATATGTAGAAAATACGGTCCCGTATATCCTTGGTATATTTATAGTATACTAGGGATAACAACCTTAATATAGTCCGTATACGGGATTTTATTCTCCGTATACTTCAAAAGTACGAACAAATATACGTACATGTATATGGGGCAAATACGGAATTCCGTATATGCCTGATGCATATACGGACTTCCCGTATACCCGGTGTTCCCTATACGGACTCGTATACTTGGTCCGTATATTCGACGAATACATCCCGTACACGCCCGTATATGTCAAAAATACGGGACCGTATATTCCCGTATATCAGTATATTTTTCGCAGTGTCTTTTCTATAAGTATGTTGGAATGGAAATAAATTTTTCTTGCACTATACTACAATAATGTACGGTTTATCGTTCAAATGATTTGTATTTAACCAAGGCCTATCGGTCTTCGTGATTATATTCCTACGCATATGGACTCGAACCGTGCATTATTCTTGAACAATACATTCATAATTGACAATCCATTTCCTAAGTAAAAATCGGTCATGCATGCCATCGTTAAGATACATACTGTATTAATAAACCACTTTGATTTATCATCTGCTTTTTTGTCTGCAAGCTGGAATGCTTTTAGCTTAGAACTACAAATAGCTCTATGATTTTATTTTTCCAGTGCAAAATGTGGCAACTGAATAATTAGCTACTATTTTCCTAGTCTATAATCTGAAATATTATGGTTATGGGTTCCAATTATTATTATTATTTTACGGATAGAAGATACGTTTAATATAGGCAGTAGTATAAATTATCTAGATCTACGTTTGTTTAAAATATAAAAAATACGATATTTATTAATATGTGCTGACTTCCATCGAATCAGTTATACATTTCAGGGAATGTTACCATTTCTAACACAATAATTCGGCAGGCATTTAAAGGTGTTCAAGGAAATGGATCCCGAGTAAGAATATCTTATTCAGAGATATACTCTTGTGCTAGCGGTATTCGATTAATTGGTGGACTACCTGATAGTGTTACAGATGACGAGACAGAAATAAACAATCATCATATGCTGTTTCACGTAAATACCCACAACAATATAGATGGTCTTCAAGTTATCGGTACAAGTCAGCAGCCAAATATTTATATTGGCTTTTCACAGTTTAATTCTAATTTTGAAAACGGTATATCTGTAGTAAATTGGGATACAGGTGAGAACGACATACCCTCACACTTAATAATAATCAACAGCTCGTTCGCCAAAAATCTAAAACATGGGATACGATGTAAAGGCCAGTCGATGGTCAGATTTAGCATAAGAAGATCTATATTTTACAAAAATTCAGACTCTGGATTATATTTTTACCGATCTGTACCATATCAATTTACCGGTTACATACATATTTCTGATTCAGTATTTATGGAAACTAAAACTGGAATCAATGCGGAGATATACTGTTATTATAGAAGATGCACTACAGATAAGCACGTCCAGCTTATATTTGTAAATAACGTCTTTAAAAAACTTAAATATGCAATAGTTATACAATACGATATGTATTATATGTCAAACGAAACAGATATCAAAATAGAAAATAATACGTTTGTGACAAATTCACATGATATTCGTGCTTCATTTAAAACGGAAGGACCTGTTCGGGGTTATCTGGAAAGTAACATATTTCAAGAGTCGCGTTTTCCAATTTATATGAAAAGTGAAACTTTGAAAAATAACGTATCCATTCGAGAAAATAAATTTAAAACCTGCTTATCAAAATATGTAGAGGATAAATTTATAGATATAATCGACATATCGGCACACATTTTTAACAACAGTTTTGAACATTGCCGTTTATCTACCGGGATCTCTCTGAATCATGGTACTGGACATTCATTTGCTTTTAATTCCATTATCAATACAACTGTGTCAGCTTGCTATATATCAATAGGTCAATCCTATATTGACAATGAGGCGTTGAATTTAGATTACAACTACTGGGGTACAACGAATATTGAGCAAGTCAAAGATAAAATATGTGATTTTTTTCTTGATTCCACTAAAGCCATAACCAAGCTTGATATCTATTTCACAAATGAAGCGATGGAAACTACCAGTGACAGTTATGATGTTAACGCATACCGTTCTCTGACAGATATTACAAATAATATTACATATATCGGCGGCATAATGGACAGCAGTGTGGATCTGAGTGAATTTAACGGACAGGAATTCGTTGTAAACAGGAGTTTAATTGTTCTTAAAGATGTCGAGGCTACTTTTGCCGATGTCAGAATAACTATTAAAAGACACAGAGGCATCAAAGTGTATGGTAAGATCTTCTAATGTTATCTTAACTTAAAATTGTTATTACGCATATTAATAGGAACTACATTTTACTTTTCTAATAAACGTTTTCTTTTTCTTTTTTTGTCAATTAATTGTGTATCATAAACAGGCAGATTATCAGCATCTAATGAGCCTCACACTAGACTATGTTCAGACAATCACCCGGTATATCGAAAGAAAATAAAGGATAAACAAATTTGTCTAGTTTAAAACTATACACAGCAAAGGAAGATTTGAGTGAAGTTCTACAAAACAGTTTGATCACAAGTTATTGAGGGTATGGGATCGTAATCATATTAAGGATTGATTATTTAGCAGTACGGCCTCCGATATTGACACTATTTTCCGTTAAATACTTTCGGTACTCATTATACAAAGATTAGAAAAAAAAATTGTTTACATCTGAAGCCATGCGGTAGAACTACTTTCAATATGTATTAGATGCGAGATTGTAATTAATACTAGTCAATTTGTTTGATTGCACAATTGTACGATATAAACGGCAATATATAACACCACTGTATCGTCGTTTGTGTGATGATACTCGCTGTAAAATTCACTAGACAATGATAGATTCTCTTTTAAAATTAATGTGACTATGAAATATTATATGTTTTAGGTACTCTGACAATCGGGAAGCTGAATGACGAATTAAGTAACACAGAACTTACGTTAGATGGAAAAATGAGCAGTAGAAATTACTGGAATGGTATAAGTTTAATATCAGGAGGTAAAATCACTTTATTGTTTACCACATAATGTTGTGTCCATCCCACATTTCGTTAGGTTTAGTTGTTTATATATTAGCCATGTAAGACTGTATTGCTTGCATTAATACGAGAGCCAGTTATTGGAAGTACAATATGGTAATTAGCTCTACGAACTGTGCTTCTCTTAAACAATATAAAGACTCCAACGATACTGTATAATAGTAATTCTTCAATTTCAAACCTAAGATAATCTTTACAAAAATTGACAATTACCGTATAACGAAAAACATGGAGTCCAAAATGGTTAACTTTGTCTTTAATCGTTAGCGTTCAGCCAAATCTAAAGCTATTTTTCTATAAACTATTCCTTATATATTAATCTGACAAAGTCATAGTGTCTAAGGAATACAGTTACAAACTATATTGTATTGTTAGAAATAGGTGGGTGATGAAAAACCTAAGGTTTCACAAAAAATTATGCATCATTTTACCCATGTTTTATTAATGTTCATGCAAGTTTGCTGATTTTAATGCTTTCGAGATATCACCTTTTCTAGATATTTATTAATAAAGCATTGTATCTGAATGGAGTATAATAATAAAAGGTTCGATACAAGACCAGTTCCTATACAATACGAAATATATGATACGTATCGCTATGTAACCTTAATGTCTTCAGATGAATCACATTGTGTGATGGAAGCCCGAGCAAAAGTCTTTCTTTAATATTCAACACTTGTAAAAATATGTAGGGCTACTTTTGTTTTGCGGTCGGTCGATTTGTTCGTAGACCAGATATTGTTGTTCCAATAACCAGAGAATTCTTCAGCTACAGTCTTTAAATTTAATATAATTAATAAATTAATTAATGCTTGTCGTTCATAGAAGCTTCTGAATTTGAGGGCATTGAGTCAGAGGTCATGCTCAGAGTGACCATGAAGACTAAACGCAAGCTGCTTGTCCAGTAAATAGACAATATATGTTTTGGCCTCCAGTCTTCATGTTTGCTGCGGAAACTGGTCACGACTAGTGAATTATCCCTATTGATTTTGAATTGGACGGGGTCTTTTGATATACAGTAATAGGCAGATGACCAATATTGACATTGATGAGAGTTGGTCAATGGTCTATAATACAGTCCCTTGACCCTTATCAATATACACAATGATTAAGCCTTCAGTTCTTTCATACAGTTAGGTGGTTGTTATGAATAAATGACACCTATTTTGAAGACATGAAGTTTATCCGTCAGTACGCTCCCTTCGCAGCTCACTGAATACACTCACGTTACTTCAGTAAGAAGTGAGCGATAGTGGAACATTCGACCGATGCGCAGGAGAGTAATCCGTCAGTAGCTAACGAACCTTTTAACCTACAGATCGTAGGTGACCCATATTTACTTTGACGTTAGTTGGTCAAAGATCAATATCACAAAGTCAATGGCACAGTAAAGTTGACCATGATCTATAGCTCAATAATGCTATGGCCTAAAGACCTCGAATTGCCCGAAGGTCCTGAATTGCAGATGATCCCTATTAACAGTTTGGTTAGTAGGTCATTATTGCTTTCACAACCAAATCCTTATATCAACTAAGTTACAGTTTGGATGTCTAGAGACATTACTTGCTAGGGGGAAAATCTGTTTCTTAAACGTCATTCTATTGTCTACCGAAAAGCAAAGTTATCCTTAAAATATGTTCCTTTTATTTATTTCGATCAGACGTAAATGTGTACAGTGTGATGCTTCATGGAATGAACAGATTCCTGCAGGTAGGAGGCGCTGATTCAATGATTGTCATCAGTAATTGTTCTGCGATTGCTGGGAACATTAAAAACTTTATAGACGGTGAAACAACAAACGGAACGTTTTCGTTAATTATAGAGGACAGTAACATAACCGCTTCTAGACCACTACAGCTTACTGCAATGAATGGCCATGTTAACATCACTATTACAGGGAGTAGTATACATAGCGAGGATTATGAAATAATTAAAGTAAAAGAGTCAGAATCAAGTGAAAATGTAATATTAACACATTTATATATTTCACAAAGTTCATTTTCTTCGACGAGTAGTTGGGTTTGGGGTTTAAACTTCGAAAGCTGTTCAAGTCACCTTAAAGCTGTAATAAAAGATTCAATGTTCTCATCAACTCATTACTCATATCGGCAAAGTATATTTAATTACTTATCTATGGAATTTACTGCCATAAATAATACATTTGGTAATGCTAAGGTATTTCTAGAATTTGCTTTTTGTGGAAAATCTCCAGCAAACTTTACCAAAGAAATTAATGTAATTGGAAACAATTTTAAGAGATCTTTGAAGGATGGAACTGACATAGTTATAGACCAACCCAGTGTCAAACAACAAAGTCACACGTTTAATATCGTTAATAACAATTTTGACGGCCAGCAAGCGATCTCGAGGCACGGTATAAAGTGTAATAGCTGGAGAAGGGAAAGTCTGCATTTAATAAACATAGAATCTAATACATTTCAAAACTATGACACTATTGCAGTTGATTTAAATTGTAAACACCAAACTGTCATGATAAAAAACAATAGGTTCGTATCAAATCAGCAGTGTATAGCAATCAAATACGGAGTAATAGAAGGTATTCATGTCTCTGGAAATACGTTTGTAAATAATACAAATCAAGCTGGAATAATATTTCTAGGCTCCGGTGAATTGGGGTATCTGACTTGCAATATAACGGAAAACATATTTGTTGACAACAACGGAACTGTTATAGCATTGGGGTGGCAGAATACAAGACTAAAGTACAATTTTTTTGAAAATAAATATGCATTTTATAATGTGAAGGTACTTCCAATGGATTTTGATGACTCTGAAAAGAGTATAGATGCTACGCTGAACTTTTGGGGCGTGTCAGACTCGAGAGAAATATCTAAAGGAATTTATGATAACAATTTTGATAACCAACTGTTAACTGTTCTGTATAGACCATATTTGGCATCAAAAAATATATCTGATATACAAAACTTAGAAACGGGATTTATTTCGGAAAATGGTGAAATCGGAGGGAAAGTTGGAGGAAATGTAACACTTAACGTGAATGATACTCCATATTTAGTAGTAGCCAATATCTTTGTGGAAGAACAAGACATACTGACTATACAGGCTGGAGTTACACTAAACATCAGACAAGGTGTCGGTATCTATGTGAAAGGTTAGTGAAGTACTTCAAAGAAGCTAAGTGCATAAATATATTGTTGCGAAGTAATGCTTATCGTATCTTTATAATGGGGATTTCTGTCCTACTTGGCCGGGCGTCGACGTCTTCGTAACACTTTATGTTAAATGTTTCGTACTAACCAATTTTATATCTATAACTTTAAACTTTTTACGAGACCATACCCTTTTTTCTAAAAACTACGTTACAGATCTTATATTCTACCCACAAATAAGTACTTACAACATTAATGAAAATCTCTTGTGTAGAATATTCACACATATGTTTTGTTTAAAACAATATACGTTTACGATTATCTTAATTGTTTCAAATGGTGCCATATTTCTGCCAACGAAAACAAATTAGTTAGTCAGGTAGTTAAAGCGATTATTATTATGTTTAACAGTTGGCAGAAATATGCCAACACGGTTTCCTGATTTTTCTCCATTTCATTTTATTCTCTAAGGGAGATTGAATGTTGTCGGAAATTTAGAACATCCAGTTCTGTTCTTGCCTGAGGATAAATCCCTGCCATGGAGAGGTATTGAAATAGAATCATCACAAGGTATATTACAATTTTTGATCTGTGACAGTTGCTATTTAAACAATATTTTGTGTTTTGTAAGATTGCATTGATTCCTTCCTATTTGTCAGTTGAAAATTCACTTTCTGTTTCACATATAATTTTAATCACAAACCAAATTGAATGATATATTGTTGTGCAAATTTATGATAAAACGTCTCATTATATAATGTATACATTTTGTATGTTATCTTCTCATCTATATTTATTTGTATGATAATAATATGAGGATGAGTTAGAGTAAATGTGAAGGCATTTATGATTACATTAACCTTTGTTGTTTATTCCCAATAAGTGCAAATCTGATTATTGTATATTTCTAAAAGATGATGACTACTTAGAACGCCCCAAAAGTTTAAACTGTGATCCGTTCTTTGTTAATACTCATTCATGCAAATGCCACCAGTTTACAAAAATGATTTATTTAAATGTATGAGATCATTTATCTTATATCTATTATGATAAATCGTCTGGCATTGTTCTCTCCGAGTAATGAATTACTTGTTTTGATCGAAGAATAAATGACATTTCTGTTGTATAATCTAACGAAGGCGTAAAAGATATGATTAATAAACATATAGTATTATTTTACAACGCAAGATTTACTAATAATATACTATTATTTAATCATTCTGATAGAAAGAGAATGGACATGAATGTTGAACTGCATTGATCGGAAAGGAATTGTGATGACGTCAAATGGCGTTTGACGTTACAACGTGTACGCATTTCCTTTCTTATCCGTGCACATATGATGCACTCGACTGCACTCGACTGATCTTTCTGTATAATATACGAATAGTTTGATGTTTGTTAGAATAATGATTTAGTTATCAATTTATTATTGGAGACATACAATATTCTAACATCATATTAACGGGACTAATAACATTTTCGTTAATGTTTAAAATAGGTTGTCTGATCTCTAATCTCGTTGTCAACGAAACCGAGCAAGGAATAACAATTACACATCCTCATTTTGATGTATCAAATTTAACTTCGATGTTTTCACACACATCTGGATTAACTCTTATTCTCCCAAAGAATCAGGAAAACGAAACCTCAATCAATTTCTCTCATTTGAATCTGGAACACAATACGGAAAATGGATTAGTTATAACTGTGTCTAAAGATGAATATATTGTTTCTCGGTATAAGGAAAACATTAATTTGTTTATACAGAACAGCATTATCTCTCGAAATAAAATAAACGGAATAGAAATGTTCTCCTTTTTTCGGATAGAAATACATAACTGTGATATATCCGAAAATAGTGAAAGTGGTATAGACTTTTCACAACGCAGCGGAATGATACATATAATCAATTCATTTATCACATCAAATGTAAAGTTTGCTATAAAAGGAGAAATTGCAGCTGGAATAATAATAGATTCCTGTGAAATTAAAAATCATACATATGAGTATTTTAATTACTGGGGCACACGCTACACTAATGGATTTATAGAGTTAAAGAGATATTATACGTATTCAAACATAACTAACAACATTTTTATCCGAAATAACCGTTTTGAAGCTAACACGGCGGACGGGATCACAATTTCAAACAAAGATGGCCCAAAAGGGATTTTAGAAGTTCATTTTGACAACAATATTTTCACTCTTGGTCGTCGTCCTGTTGTATGTGAAGCTTATTCATATTCAAATTGGAAGTTGCTTTTTAAACTGTTCTTTCGAAACAATACCTTAGATAAAAATACACTTCTGTACGAAAATTTCTTCATGGATCTATTAGTTAGTGACAGCACTTCTTATCATATAGAACTGAAAGATAACTTTGTTTCCAGTAATCAAGCAGACTCTTTTCTAGCTTTCTATAACAACAAAATAAATGGTGCGATAGAAATAACTGGTAATACATTCCAGGAAAATAATTTTACATCCTCTCTGATATATAGTGGAGGTAGAAATTCCTTACAGCTCCATCAAAATGTTTTTGAATCATCAAACTCATATAGTTGTGTAGTTGAAATGCCGAATTTTATAAATGATTTTGAGGCCAATGCTACCTATAACTATTGGGGCACACACTTAGCCCAGGACGTTGTTAACAAAGGTTGCGGATTTGAAGCAAATATGAACAAGAGTTTTGTTTGGATGTTTCCATATTATGAAGATAAAGAGTTGACATTGTTGTCTGGGTCAGGATTTAATGTGAGTGGTATAATTGGTGGTGAGGTAACAAAAGACACAATAATATCTGGGAGAGAATATAACTCAACAGTTCGGATTCATAGATCTATATTTATACGGTATGTTTTAATAGTTTCTTTATGAATATTAAAAACACCCACAAGTAGAATTACTGTCATAAAATAACATTTTGCAATATTACAATTGTTGACGGGTAAATGTAAAGTTTGTAGAATAAATTATTCTTTTAAAGAAATATAAAGCTTCTGAACATTCAATCTATAACAATACTGTTAAAAACCTAATATACTTCCTCGCATAGAAACTACGCAGGCAACTATACATAAACGAAGAAGCACATTATGCATAATCGGGTAAATTCTCGTGAGCACGCGCCTTGTTCCATTTTTAATATTCATGACTCAGGGCGCAATGTAGAACAGCTTGATGCAATGGCGTCCAGGTATTATTATTATCAAAACAGGACTGTCAAATAATATCGCTCTAGCACTTAGAAATAACGGCATAATTAATGGTTTATTGTAAAGAAACATGGAATGGCCGATATATACTATTCTTTTATGCATGAATAGCACTAATGCACCCTCTTTCGTGCTTTTGCAGATGTAAGTTCACGACAAAATGTTCATACCTTATATTGTTCGTTATACGTACAGAGGGAACAAAGAAATTTACGTTGTTGAAAACAAAAACATTTTGTACACCTCTTGATTCTTAGATTAGATTTTTGTCGTCATATATCAGTACATTTCTATTTTATCTAAATAAATAGGGAAGGTGTGAAGCTTACCATCGAAGAGGGTGTTTCGCTTATATTTGCGCCGAAGAGAGGAATATACGTACAAGGTATGATCCCTATTATTAGATTGCTAAATACACCTAGTAAAGTTTTGGAAAGGAGCTCATGATGATAACAAAAACTTAGTATCGTTACATAATGTGAACTTTTATTAAGGAAGTATATCTGAAGTAAAATGTTATTATATTCACACCTTTTCACACAATTCTTGACAGTTAAATAATTATGTCATACCCATCAACAACCTAAACCAAACAAACTGTTTGACTGAGATTTTTACCGCCCCGAGGGTTTAGAGTCGATGACTTCTAATCCAGTTACCTCTCTGGCGTGGGTTCGATCCCCGGGAGATGCTTTGATAGTTTAGCACGGAGGAAGGTAGTCTAGTACATGTAGTATTGGTGTAACTCTCCAGGAACGATGGTTAGGAAACTACCCGTCTTTATGACTGAAATACTGTTGGGAAAAGGCGTAAAATGAAACAAACAAACAGAGATTTTTGATTTCACAATAATTTATTCTTAATATGTAGAAAGTTTAATCAGGTGGGTCACTATTACAACAGAGTTTCTATTTCCCACACCTAATCAATTTCGGTACTTCATATGTTCCACTAGCATTACATGGACTTAATGTTTTAAATGTTTAAATAAAACTATTTTCGATAATACAATACAAAGCTGTATTCCTGTATTTTATTTTAATTGCACTCGCTATTGATATGATAAAATTCAGGTTCTCTAGCCATCAATGGACACAACCTGGCTGTCGTGTTAGATTCTCATGAGGTTGACTCCCCTTGGCATGGCATTGTTGTCAATATTTCTTCACATGATAGTAAGTATAGCCTACGTTCTCTACCAATTTAAGAGTTACCACATGCCAAGTATTTAGGAGTTTGGACAGGGGATGGTGGGTATTATAACACATGGCTGTCGGAGTGATATTGTCATTTTCAGACCTGGTGTGCACCTCAGGGTAATGTACTCGTTCAGGGGTTTGCAGTATTTACTATCCCAACCGATTAGAGCTTGGCGTTTCATTGAAGGGCCATTGGAATGATTATAATAGATGATATAATTGTAAAATATTATATTTTACATATCAATAGTTTTGAAAGGAGTGTTCATTACCATGATAACAATTAAAAATCTCATAAACTGTTTATGCATCTTCTACTTTAACATACATATGTTTAGTATTATTGTTTTTATATCCTTTTAGGAACTGGAAAAGTACAAATTATTGGCGCTAAAATCCAGAACACGCTGTATGGTATTGTGTCATACACACCTAGTGTTGAAATTAAACGAGCTGTAATAACAAATTCTTCAAAGAATTGTCTGACATTGTCTGAAGCGAATACACACTCAGTCTATGACTTTGTTAATACAATATTTAAATCATGTGGGGAAAATGGTATACAAATAAAAGGAGTTGGAGCGTACAATATTTCGAATGCCCATGTTCATGATTCTTTAATTGGTATAGAAAGTGGTATGTTTTCTGGTTCGTTCGAAGTACAATCGTGCGTTATAACAAGTTGTTCCGTCGGTATTTCTGTTGAATCACAAGTTTATGGCATCAACAACAGCATCAGTATCATAAAAAATCGGTTCACTCAAATTTCATCTAAAGCGATTGTTTTGAAATTTGAGAACAGTAATCGGTTAATCTACGATACAGATAGAAAAATAAAAGTCGATTTAAACACATTCAAGGATGTTTGTGGGATTGTTATCCAGACATGGAACCACGTGATGTCATCGTTCCGTGACAATGATTTACTTGATTCAAGATGTATAAGTCAAACTGACTGTTTTATGGAAGTATTATCAAACGGAAGTTCAACCTTTGATCATCTCCGATTATTTGATATAGCTTTAAATCGTTTTGAAAATATAAGTGCGAAATGTGTTATACAACTTGAAGACAACAAGGAAGTCGATTTACAAAACGTATTTACATATAACACAGTAAGAGATAACAAGGGAAGGGATGGTGTTTTACTGGTGAATTGCAAATCCTTCAATATATCGGGAAATGTTTTAGATAATCCTGATTCTGTATTTGATATAATCACAAAAACAAAAGGTATTGTTTATATATCAATCTTTTAAAATATTTCTATTTCTTATCTGGAAAGTTAATAGCGTATATGATATGGAACCAAAGTATTTTCTTAAAGGTAGAAAATTTCTATAAAATGTTAGATTAGCGAAAGGGAAACTGCGGTTTGTACATTGTACATTCTAGTATTCGTCACATGTTACACATTTAAACAAGTAAACGCGTGATGAATATCGGTATCACCTCTTTAAAAAAAAAAAACACACGATTCTCATTTTTCTCATTTTTTTTTTCAATGTCGACAAATTTTCAAGTTGAATAGTTTTGTTTAAATTTGCTTTATTCTAAAGATGTATTCTTATTTTCTCTCACTTACAGGAACATATTCTGTTAATGTTACGAAGAACTGGTGGGGTAGTGTAGATATAAGTCACGTATATAGTCGAATTTTTGACAAGAGACGTATTCCGGATTTAATACGTTTTGAAATTGAACCTGTTTTACTTTCAAGCTTTTTTGATTGTGAAAACGTAAATAACTGCAGCTCACATGGAGAATGTGTCAGTCCAAATCGATGCCGCTGCTCATCTGGTAAGATATATTAAATGTAAATTATTTATATGGTAATAAGCGGTAATATGTAAGTATCGGACAACAGTTGTACAACTTTATTGTAACAGAAACATGGATGAAACATTTCATGTTTCATTGTATTTTACTTTTTAAAAAGAAAAAATACTAGTAACATTCAAGAACAATCACCTAGGATTAAAATAAGAAACTAAGCACTTTAACATACAGAATAGTACATTAATTCAGACGTTTATGTATCAAAGTGGTGTTATCAATGACTTCATCTACTAAACGCATGATGCGGAGATTTGTTTTGATGTTTCACAGCTAGTAACGTGCTTTATTGGTAATATCGCTTAGTGAGATATTCCATATAACGCACAGTTCCTACGAAAAAGTGTACGGTATTTCAAATAAAGCACAATGATTTTAGTTTACTTGGTTTATGTATTACACAGGCGTTAGGCTAAAATAAGCTCCCTTTGATAATTTAAAACAAACTAATTAGCACCCGTTTACTATAGATAAAATAAACGTGTAAATGTGCGAAATGCCTGTGTGACCGTAGACGAAAAAAGGTAGTCACTGGACTAGGCATGCCTCAAAACTCAGACTGAAAAATAGCATAACATTTAACCAGACTGGGGATAGGTAATGGGGTACTGGGTATATGACCATCAGTTCAGATGCTGTTTTTGTCTGAAGCACCGACGTACGTGTTATTTAACGTTTTAATAATTTTCCTAAATGGTTTTTGGTGTAATGAGGTACAATCTATATAAAACTTTCTTGTGTAGCAATTCTTTATTTTTTATCAGGAAAATACTAAATAAAATCCATAGTTTGCCATGTGATTAAACAAATCCTAATCAAATGACGTACGCGAAATACTAGCGCATCATAATACTTTTCAGCAATGGTTGTATGTGTATGTGGCCATCGAAACAATCAGGAACATCCACCATATTTCTGATTGGCCCCTTACGTTTTGGGGTTTACAGTAAAAAAAGAAAAGAAATAAAGTCATTTACATGCACCATAAAATTTTTACCGGGGTTCCGTGTTAGGTATTTAATTAACAGAAAAAATATATATCAAAATATTATGTCTAATCAATATTCTGATTTCTATTTATATTGCGATGAAACAGCTATATAATATACTTAGTATTCGACTGTTATGTTGAAAAAGTATGGTCTGTGGCTGCACGTTTTCGACCTTTCAGCCTCGTTCATGTTTTGTAGAGATAGAAACTCGTTGTCGCCCTAGACAATGATATTTTCACATAACAGTCTGGTCGCTGTACTTCAACTATTACTTAACTTTAGATGTATGCAAATAACAACGAAACCTTTGCATACGTGTGGGCATTGTCCTTGTATACATTTATATACCTTTCATTGTACTCTTTATTGTATGGTACTGGTATTCGGCTTTATTTCTGGCTTATTTACTTTGGTTCTGTTGGTCTGTTTTAGGATGGGCAGGTGAATCGTGTGAGGGTTTTGTTTGCATCGATATCCATAATTGTTATGCTAATGGTGAGTGCACCGGTCCAAACACGTGCTCTTGTTATGATGGTTGGAATGGAGAGTATTGTATTACAGCATCATGCAGGTAATACTTATCTTCTAGCGTTGCGTCTTTGATATATTTGTCATAGCTATCAGATTCGTTCAAATCAATATTTTTGTAGCATGTTGTACTAACTATAACATATTCAAAATAAAAAATACAAGATTTTAAAACAGTTTTTGTTCTCTCGCTAACTAATTATATTCAATCATGCTCAAGTGGAATATAACCCTCTCTCTGTATGAACACATCTGCGAATGTTTCTAGATTCAAAATTTCACCATTTTCGTGTTAAATGTTGAATTTTGCTTAAGCCGGTGCTAGGGTGCGTGGACGGTTACTTGCACTTTCCAGTACCGTCCATGAACAGGCTCAATCAAACCAAGCCTGCAACATTTTCAATTTTGTTGTGTTGGACTTTCTTTAGGGATTCTGTTTTTCTCTATTTTGTACCCCAAAATTGGATTTCCCTTCTTTAAATCATCACTATCATTATCCTAGTTTTTTTCATTCCTATTAGTAATGTTATTTTTGATAATTATTTCGTAGACACATTGAATTTCAAACATCTATCGATGATTGTATAGTATATGTACTGACCGTATAATATACAATTAGCAGCTTATAAAATCTTACAATATCCAAAATGACATCCTGCACTTTTAAACTAATAGTATGCAAATAATGAACAAACGAGTTGAACAAAAAACAAACAGACATCATAGAAATTCATAGGGCAATCTAAGCGTGTAACTGTTTTGCATGTATACAAAAAAATTGTATTTTCAGCCAAGTGAATAATTGTAGCGGACATGGATTTTGTTCTAAACCAAATACTTGTACATGTGCAGCAAGATATACCGGAAGTGATTGTAGTTTCTGTAAACCTAATTTTGGGGGACCATCTTGTCAGCCGTGTCCAGAGTGCAAACACGGGGCTTGCAGTTCTCAAACGGGTATGTATTTATTTGTCAAAATGTTCCTAGATAATGTTTAATTTTAAACATTTTAGTTAGTGTATTATTTTTACCAACCAAAGTTATTTTATTTATACTTTGCAAAACATTTCCGTCATAACTGAGTTTGATCGTTTTATATAAAATAGAATATTATAAAATAGGGTTTGCTTCGTCATCAATTGCAAAAACCTGTATTTTTATGTTAGATTTTCGCTAATTTTAAGAAAAGACATATAAATATTTCGGATTATATGAGTAAAAGTAAAAATGATTAATATGTGTTTTATTTACAAATGGATTAAGTTCATTATGGAATCTGAACACAGTTTTTTTGTTTTGTATCGTCATCGGTTACAGATAATCTAAGGTCAATTCTACAATATTCGAAAATAGAGAAAAACAGAATGCCCAACACAACAAAATTGAAAATGTTGCAGCCTCGGTTTGATTGAACCTGTTCGTTGACGGTACTGGAAAATGCAATTTACCGTCCACGCCCCCTAGCACCGGCTTAAGCAGAATTCGACATTTAACACGATAATGGTGAAATTTTGAATTTAGAAACACACACTGTTGGAGTTGCATCCCACGAGTGTTCAAATGTTTGATACATTTAATGTTTTTATACATACCAGTTAAATTGTCTTTTGAACCGTCGTTGTATTCAAAATGATAATGGTCTGACAGTCGACGTTGGTTAACTTCCGGATGTTGTAAAAACTATATTGACTGTTGAAATGATAATTCCAGCCATGACGAAGAAGGGCTAAGTACCGCGGCGGCCATTATTACCTAAAAATATAAAAAAACAACATACAACTGCAATGGAAATGGGAAGGGCATTTTTCCGTGTTGGTTCTAGAAAGCTTCAGAGGCTCGGAGACTAAATCAAAATGAAATTTGCAGAAGCGTGCTCGATTGATATACCTAGTCTACTAAGCATTCGCGAACCAGATTGAATGACTTGTTAGGAGGCGGAGGAGCACGATAAATCGGTCTTTGCAAAAGTACTGTGACGTATTGCGTAAACATAAATAGTTTTAGCTCAAGCGCATTATACGATAATCAGCATTGTATACATTTGTAAGGATGATCATATCAAATATTGCATCTATTACTTGTTTCTATGTATACAACATTTCAGGACTATGTGAATGTGAAAACAGTAACTGGGCTGGTTACCTCTGTGATCGATGTAATGATACTTTCTATGGACCAGATTGTTTACCTTTAATGAAAGTGTTGGAAATAGTTCCTAGCAGAGGTCAAGAAAAGGGTGGAACGGATGTTCACGTATGGGGGCATAACTTCCCTGAAACAGTGGACGGTTCTTACAACTGTCGTTTTGGAAAAACACAGAGCGTTGGGAAATGGTTAGCAAGAAATCACGTTGTGTGTATTGCTCCTAGGCTTCCAGAAGGGGAGGTTACTCTTGAAATATCTCCAAACGGGACTGAATTTACAAATGACCATGTGAGTGTTGTGTATTTATATTTTTTTTTGTTTTTAATGGAATCCATTTTAAAACTTGTATGTATTTGCTCACAAAAACTATTTCAAAAAATCTCAACATTGTTTAATCCATTAGGAAAATAGTTTTGGCGAACAATCGTGGTTTTACATTAGCAATTTTAGTTCAAATCACAAAGTGAATCGTAATACCGTTAAAATATAATCGGGTGTTATCAAGATATGATGATCGTTGTAAAGTCAACTTTGTTGAAAAGTCCGATAATAACTCCAGTAACAATATCCAAATTCCAGCTGACATATTATTATTACTCGACTTGTCCTCCTGCGTTCTGTGGGCGAGATATAAACCCACCACGTGGGCAGTGTGTATTTGGGTCTTGCTCATGCTACCTGCCTTGGAAGGGAGACAACTGCACAGTCAAGATACTACCGTTGCTTATTAAAGACGTACCACATCTACAAACTGTCAACGAATCGCAACTTTACAGTCTGCAACTCGAAGTGGAACAGGTAAAAAACACAATTATGTTGTCGAGTCATGTCTACATGTCTATTTTTGTCAATATCAAGTCGTCCATTATCAGTTGCAGTCTAATCAATAACTTTTATGTTAGCGGAAGTAAGTAGCGGTTTTCACTGTAAATAAGTAAATTGTCTTATTTAATTTCTTGCTGTCTGCAATTACTTATTTTACAGTTTTAAGTGCTCAATACTACTTAAGCTAGTACAAAGGATGAAATATGTTGCACTATAAGTTATTCCAATGATCAGACTTAATAAAACAGAGTATACAAGTTTGACTGTTGATCTTTTTAATAATCTCTTTCCAGTTATGTTTTCTTTCAGATAGAAATACTGATATAGTACCACAGAAGTAAACGCCAGAAGTATGTGTGTGCTGACAGCCTTTAAATAAGAGAAACAAACTTGAATATTAATATTGAAACATTACCATTTTAGGGAGACATTCCAGTGCGTTGGTTTCTTTCCAAAGGTCCTCTCGGAGTAACAATAGACGAAACGACAGGACTGCTACGATGGCCAAACACAAAAGCCAATATTCGCCCATATCACATTGAAGTAAAAGCCTCAAATATCATAAGTGAAGTTACTGTGGCATGGTCCCTTACGGTTCTTTTATCATACACTGTGACCGTTGAGTACATAGATCCCAGTGCCGCAATCTTTCCAGTTCCTCGGACAGTCAACATTGTTGGTAAAGTGGAATTTGTCCAGAAAAACTCTTCACGTACTGTTCCTGTTAAAGTAATGTGAGTTTTACCGATTTTCATACCTTGCATTATGTTAAAGTATTATAAGATTTTAGCGTATTGTATTTTGTATGAATAAGCGATATTTTCAATTAAAGATATGCTTTCTTTGTCTTCAAGCGTGTTCAGTCAGAAAACAAAACGTGAAACTGTGATTAATGTAGAATCCAGCAGTATCTCGCCAGACACATTTACAGCCATGTATTATCCTAGACCAGACGATGCTGGACTTTTCTCAGTGGTAACTAAACAAATCTCTCATATTTCTTTCAAAAATAACTTTTGACAAGTTTTTAAATCGTGCCATTAAACGTCAAATAATGATACATGTACTACATACATTTATGTTTTAAACATTTGTAATTGTAAATAAAGCTTTTTAGCACCACCACTGAACTCCTTCCTTGATCTAACTAGTACAACTGTCATCTAAGGAAACATGATCGTAGCCTAAGAGGCTCAGACCCACGATCTTCGTTTGATATAAACATACATAAACACCGGAAACCCGCTCACCTCTGTGATAATTACAAATAACACCTTATTTATAGGAATCATTACATAGTTACTTGACAAGTTTGATTTAAATATGCTGCAATTTATATTTGTTGTTCGTAAGATATTTTATCGTTTTCTATTGTACCCCGGAAAATGTAATTTTGAAAATTTTTTTGGTCA